CTTCTGGAAATTTTTTATATATTTTTAACAAAATTAGCTTCATTGGAACTACGCAGTCTTTCGTTAGTTTCACCTGCTCCTCTCTAATGATAATTTCCAACCCGCATCTGTCAACGCGTACGTTGACAGAAGGTAGAATCGTATCCAGCCTGGCGCACCTGCTCCTATCAGCTAGGGGAAAATTCTACTAAAAACCTAGCTGTTTGTCTCCTCTTTTTCATATTTTCCCACAATTTTGACAATTTTTAGTAATATGCTAGCCTTCGGAAGTCTTAGATATCCCATGATACGCCTCTGATGCGTGACCGTTCAGCGCTCGGGGTAGTTTCTAACATCTGCTAACCAAATGGTTGAGATTCAGATTTCTCGGCACTCCTTTGGTTGTAACTTTATAGTTATAGCAACCAAATGTTATTACAGAATATATCTCCAAACCCTGTTTTGTCCAACTTTATAGCATCCGGTTCTATTATCTATTTTCTTCGTAATATGAATTTGGTTTCCCTTGGCGTTCACTGGGTGGTTTACAGATGCGAATGTTTGTTCTGCCCTTAGTTTTTATGTTTATTTCTATTTTATGGATGCGACGAATCTTTACAAGGGTAGGCGGCATAACGAATTATTTCAACGAATTTAGAAATTGATAACTTGGTCGGCTACACGTTTCAGTTGGCAATATGGTTTGGAACGTTGAGCATCGTGTGTTCACTGTACGTCGGTACTTTAAAAATGGCGTCTCATTTCACCTCATGGCGATATTCCATGGCCCCCTTGCTCCCCGGACCTTCAACGTCTGATTTTTTTATGAGGCTACCTGAAATCAAAAGTTTACCAAAGCAATCCTCGGACCCTCGTCAATTTGAAGGAGGAAACCCAAATTCCTGCACGGGTGCTGGCCGATGCAATAGGCGGGAGAGGCTCAAGAGCGCCATATAGCCGACATCGTTTTTAAAACGTAAATTTTGTTTTACTCAAAAAAATGCCATGTATGACAATATAATAAAATATTTTTGCAAATACTGTACTACTCATTTAAAAAACATGCGTCCTTTCTGAAGGACCCTGTATTTCACAGCTATGCTTTTCGTCTCCATACTAATTAGAAATTTACTTTACTACTCTACAACTAGGTACTCGTATATTAGCATATATCGTATATTTGGCTAGAGGGCTATCTAGACCTTTCTAAAGTAGATTTCTAATTAGCGCGGAAAAGAGAAACATAACTCTAACAAATGCAGATAGAATACGTTAAGCCGCGTACAGCCCGAGATTCCAACGCAAGCCAAGGCATATGTGGTTACAGATTTGGCGCGAGCCAACATAAGCCAACGTCTTCCAAGGTCGGCGTTTGCGTTCGCTCCTTGATCGGTACATCAAAGGGAGGTTTGATTTGGTCTGGACAAGATTTGTTACGCCTCTAGTATTTACTCGTTTGTCTGCATTCGATGAGACGAGACTCGTCGCTCGACATTAGCACCGAACTTAACCCGACGCGGTCTAACTCGAAACTAAATTTAGATGTAGACGACGTGGAGACGAGCGCATTCAAATACCTTCCAACAACAAACGCCAACATCACATGTCTTGCATTCGTTTGTTCGGCGTTGGATTTTCGGTCTGTACGCGGCTTTATTCAATCCTGCAACCTCGAGATTCTTTAATTGTGTCTGTCTAAGAAATCCGTTTTCTATAAATATTGTTCTATATCAGAGTTCCCCAAACTTTTTTGTGTCGTAGACCCCTTGCCATGTTTTTCCGTGTTGGGTAGACCCCCTACTTACCTGATATTGATTTCCTGTAAATTTCTAACTGTAGTGAAGTTTAGTGTTAAAAACATAAAGTAGAAACACATGTTAATTTATACATTTATTAATTGAATTTAAATTAAAACTACTGAAAATAAAATTTTGTATATGTTATTGAAAAAAAATAAGGGGGATAAAATAAAAATAAGTGAAAAATAATTAAAAAAAAGTTTTTACTTAAAATAGTACAATAAGCGAGTTCGTTTATTAATTATAACATAAACGTATGTTCTACAATAATTTCACTGTTAGTTTGATTAAATTCCGCTTCTTATACGTTTAAGTTATCTAAAAATAGGCAAAAAATTTAACGAATTTTAGTGTGTACCTATCCTTGAATTTTCAGAATAATTTTAAAAAAAATATTTTCTATAAAGGGGGGTTCTTTAAAAAAATCAATGCGGGCACTTATTCCCAATGCGGGCATTTATTGGTAAGACACCAATAAACATAAAATAAACTATAAATAAAATAACATAAGCAATAAGTCAATATTTTTAGTGAGAAGGATGAACCTGATGCTTTAATAGTAAATTATCAACATTTGGCATCAATTTTGTAAGGGGTCTGTTTCTTTTTTTCGTTAGAAGATTGGTAACAGCGCTGAACCCCCTTTCCACTAGACATGACGATGGAAAGGCAATTAAAAGTTTCCTCGCTATATTCCATAATACGGGATAAGTAACGGGTATGTTGTTTTGCAGCCAGAATTGCTGATATCCGTTTTTAAACTGAACCTTAAGTTCTTCGTTTGTACTTAGTTCAGTCAGTTCCTCTTGTATTATGACATTCGTTTCTTCTATGTCACCATATGGATTAATTATCCACGGTGGTATTACCATAGTCAAAATATCCTCAAACCTAGATTCAAAATCTGAATAGAGGGCATTTAAATGTTGAACGTAAGTTGAAACGTCCTCTTCCTGACAGCTTGTCTGTGACAAATTGGGTAACTGAGAAAATTCGCCCCGTCCAATATTTTGCTTCATTAGTTTAACTCTGGCAAGAAACGCTGATAAGATGGACTTTGTTTTAATCAAATTTAAACTGTCGCCTTGTAATTGCAAATTAACCATATTAAATTTTGTAAACAAATCTGTTAAATAGGCGATGTCTGTTTTCCTCTCCATTAAATTTTCTTTCAACATTTTATCTTTAGTATCCAGAAATTCCAAAATAGTCTCAAAAAGTGCAAAAAATCTTGTCAAACATAAGCCTTTCGACAGCCAGCGTACTTCAGTGTGAAGGAGTAATTGATGAAAGTGTTCGTCATTTTCTTCACACAACGCGTTGCTTCGGATTCGGTTTACTGCATCAATGACTAAATGAAGTGATTCATGCAATCTAACACTCAAATTTTTAGCAACTGAATGTTGTCGATGGATGACGCAATGAATTGCTAACACCCCTGACACATTTTGTTTTAAATAGCTTATAAATCCACGATAACGTCCAACCATGGCAGGTGCTCCATCTGTAGCTACTGATATTATATTTGATAAAGGAATTGCTTTTTCAATGAAGTAATCCTTCAAAACATGAAATATTGATTCACCTTTAGTGTCGGTTATCAAAGTCCTTGCGAAGAGCAGTTCTTCGTAGATTTCTTGATTCTTAATATTTTTATCAGGTAAAATTGACTCGTCCAGTTGTATAGAGAAATGGGTCGTTTGCAAATAATTACATAAGAAGCTTTCAATATCATAACTCATTTCATCAATACGTCTTTCAACAGTATTGTTGCTTAAGGGAATTCTTTTTATGATATCAGATGCAGGTTTGTGTAAAACAGTTTTTAAAACATCTTCAACGGCTGGCAAAATTAACTTCTCTCCGATAGTATGCGGTTTTCCGGATTTTGTTATAAGTAACGAGATATTGTAAGACGCCTGCATACCATCATCATTTCTTTGTGACGTCGAAGAGAACATTCTGTCCAGTGTAGGTCTCTTCTGAAATTTATCTTTGAGTGTTTGAAAGTATTTCAAATCTTTCTCTGTTTTATCAGGGTGGCATCTTCTCAGATGATCTTGCAGTTTAGATGGTTTCTTAGAGTCATTGCCCAAAACTTTGTTGCATAAAAAGCACATAGGCGATTGTTTGTCCGGCAATGATGGAATGAAGCCAAATTTCAAATAATCAACACTGTACTGTCTACATTTCTTTTTAGATTCGGACATGGCATCAGTCATCTGTGGGCAAAATTAAATTATTTAAATAAGACAGAAAATCCAGCAGCTGTATATTAAAAATATTTTTTGATTTTTCCGAAAACATTCCATAATTCGAACATCTTCTTGCAACAATTTGCTCGAATTACGGAGATTGCACTGTAATTATAGTACCGATTGCTAAAACTTTCAAAAAGAAACTATTGAGGAGTACTCGTGTAATTTTGCATGATTGAATATTTAATTACTAATAACTAAAGTCATGATTGGCGTAATTCATCTATCTTTGCTAACTACGAGTACAAAACTAAAATTTAATAAAAAATAATGTACTTACTTTTCTCCAGCACTCTCAAACAAAATAACACTGACTCACTATAATTTGTGTGATATACTATCTGTTTTATTTTTTTAAATATTTTCTTAGCACTTTCCTTTTCCAGATTCAGGAAACGAATAAACGTATTTGTCCCACATTCGTATTTATAGAGTGACGAATTGAACAAGTCAGTGCAAGGTAGCGAAGCTCTGAGACTGCGACTCTCAGGTTTTTACAAGTTCAAAATGTATTGCGACCACAAAGCGAATACCAACATCCTACAACTTACACAATTTTATAAACATATATAATAAATTTTTTACTTCATAGGTACTTTTATAAATAATGTATATGTTTTGATATTATAAGATAGTATGATGTAAGTAAATAGGTACTATCAGTATATCTGTTGAGATCCACTATCGTGGACCCCCATATTCATCTCATGGACTCCCAAATTTTTTTTCGCTGACGTAGACCCCTTGCAGGTTGTCATAGACCCCTAGGGGTCGATATAGACCACTTTGGGAATCAATGTTCTATATGGTCATATTTATCGTGTAGCCCCGGCTTCTCTACCTATATTTGGTACACAGATAGAGGTTTAGCTTAGAAAACAGTTTATTATCGTTTACCAAAGTTTTTTGGATACATCGTAGAGCATAGTGCAAGGTGCATATGTATAAAATAAAACACAAGCGCCAAGAAGTATAGTATATTTACATTCAAATAAGAAAAGTAACAAAAAATTGGTCGGCCTTTTTAACGTAAACGCAAGTTCTACAATTCGACACTATAAATAAATTTTTATAAATTTTATAAATTATATCTCGTATTAGTCAGTACTATAAGGGCAGTACTTGTACGTTACTTCTGTCATCAGATTTCGTAGATATTGACAATGCATATCGTACAAGCCATGCATAATACAGGGTGTTGCTTAAAAATAGGCTGTATTTACAAGGGGGCATTCCTGAAACAAATTTAAGTGGAAAAGTTCATATAAGCATGTGGCCTAAGAAATCTGGTCTTCTTATATTGGGTCTCAAAGTTTATTAATACCTTAAAGATTCTTGTGCTGATTATGTTGAATGTTCATTGTGTTGTTCAATGTAATAAGACGTAAACTTAGCACCAACTAAAAGATAGTTATGAATTCCTGTGGCGTCTCGGTGGCAATCTCACGAATGAAATTGACAAAAAAATGTGCAGCGCTGATTTTATGAAAAACATATTTTTTTGTTAAGCAGCTGATGGTTCTTTTTTGTCTCTTGGTATCTCCCTGTATCCTACTCTGTTTGCGACAAAAAATAAACAACTTCATTGGATGCCGAAAAGTTATTAAAATAAGAACAAACTATCTTTGATCGTTGTCAAAGAGCGTTGTTGGGGTATTATAATTACATTTTTCACTATCCGTATCAGTTTGCTTTATTTTTTCTATCAATTTTTTTTAATAATTAACGCCCTGTAACATGAAAATAAGACTGTTCCGGTCACCTCTTTTTATGAACTTTTCTAAATGAATTTGGTTCAGGAATACGCTCTTGTAATTACGGCCTATAGTTAAGTAACACACTGTATAGAGAAAGATGTTAACAATAAATGCTGTTTGTGCGATGCTGTTGGAATCCAAATAGGCACTTCATAATAAAATAAATTTATTAGGATAGACATTAAACACTGGCAGAAGAAAATTAAAACATGAAATAAGGACAGTGTCTTCAAACTTCATAGCAATGGAGTTTTTGAATAAAGACTGTCATTTGTGAAATATACATAGAAAATCTTCAATCTGTTTTTTCTAGAATTATAATATTGTCTGACTATTTCGTCATATCCACGTCAAGTGTACTCCCAAGACATTAAGCAAAGCTTCCTCAACTTTTCCGGAGGTTTTCACTGATTAATGATTCATATCATCAAATTATTATTGGATGTACTAATTTAATAATGAAGAGAGGGTGAATATTATACCGCTTTAACAAAGGTCACAAAGCCAAAACAGATTATTCATTATTATTAGACAACAAAGTATTTCAGAATGATCAACTCCCACATTCTTCGATATTTTAATACTTCAGATATCAATATCAATCGCTTTTGTTATCATCAAAATTCAAGTTTATTGTGAAGTGGACTAGACAATATTTTAACAAGTATATTTACATATTCTGCAGCAGCACTCACATATATTGGGTATAATATCGTAATGATGTTGGGAAAATGAATATTATATCATAATCATTTATTATTTAAATGCTTTTATATCAGAATTCATTATATCTCTTTTAGCTTTCTTTATTAGTTTTTCCTTGATTGTGCATCATATCAGCAAAATTCTTAGAGAACAAATATACAACAATAATTTCTCAAAAAAGTATAACCGCGGTATGCCAAATGACGTGCAATTATCGATCTACGATAAACTGACTCAAGTATAATATTTTGTGATGTTAGTATTTTACTTTATTCCAGGAGCTAAGTAAAATGTATGCCTCGGAAATATGATAAAAATGTTACAGTCGTTCACGGTTAACCATCGAAAAACGAAGCTTCAACCCGATAGGAACAGGTTACTGAATAGCAAAGCATCCAGAAATAATATTTAAAGGTATTTACTTCATAGTATAGCTCGCTCTGTATTTATCCATCTCACACCATATAACTTCTTGAAAGTCTCAAACTCTATCAGAGGTTAGAGATAAACGCTTCATCGAGACGTTTACCAACTCTTCTACAGTTTTCCGAAGACAGCTTCTCTACAATCTTGATCCCTTAGTAAGAGTATCACATGACGTCTGGCTTATCCTTTTCATCGACCACCAAAGACGTTTCGCTCATTGGAGCGGCCGATTGTACCAGATTTCTATCATTAGAACCGGTACTTCTGTTCCTGCGGATAGTACTTCTTCTGAAACTACTTCTAAGGATAGAGGCCACCTCGGCGGCTGTCAAAGCCGTTGATGTGGACTCCAGGTTTCTCAGTCTTTGAAGTGTTGATATCCTGAAAGAAATTAAACAAGGAATAAGTATGACTCGAAGTAAGACAGCGTTAGCTAGCACCAGCACGTCATAATGACGTCGAAATTCGGTGATAAATCGTCAGCTGACGTGATTGTTCCAAATATCGACGTTGCAATGACGTCCAATTGTGTAAGTGAACTTAAGACGTTGTCATGACGTCTTTTTTGGTAATATTTTTTTAATTATACATATTTTTATATGTACGATGTTTTTGTTAATTTATACTCAGGTTCAAAATAAACGCAACAAGCAAAATTTAGGTCAAATTCGTAACGTCATAACTTTTTTATCTGATTCCATTGGTCACTTCGGCCGGTGGTAGGTACGCTCATTGGCTTTATCGTGTAAACATGAGTTTTTGATTGCAGTCACGTTTGGACTTATAGTCAACGCCAAACAAAGTGGCGTGCACGTCATCACGATAAAAATTCCCCGACCTAATGCCTAGGTTTCTATCACAAACAATTGCTCTATTGCAGTTTCATATTAATGTGATATATAAATTGTAAAATGGTCATTACTCTCTTATTATGGTTAATAGTCATATAAACATTGTTATTAAAATATCACATAAGTTGCTTTCTGATAAATTTAGACGCATTATGCGAAATAAAATGTTTTGCAAACGCTCCAATCACTTATCGACATGTAAACGCACTAAACCGATTTCGCAGCGTTGACACATTGTCACCTTGAAACTTATTTAAACTGGGAACTGACATTTGTATTAATTTTGACACTGAATCAATTTGTGGCATTTCAAATCTTTATAAATCCTTTGGCCCCGCATACTGTAAATCAACAACTGTTTGTTTCAAAACAAAATTATTCATTTTACGAGTAGATAAAGGCAATTTTGGTATATAAAGATGCCCAAACAGTTAAATAGTCGGTGTAAGGAACTCGTGGCCTCGTTAATGCACTACTTTGAGCAAGAAAGGGACAACAACGGGCCTTTGTTGCCTTTAAATGCTGTTCAAGAGGTAGGTTACTAATAATTATATGTAATGTATATTAATAATAGTGAAATTTTATTTCATTTTTTGTAGCGTGTTGCTAATTTAGAATCGCCCAAGAAAAAGCGGAGTTATATTAAACGTGTAACCAACACAGCGACATTGGATACAAGTGCCATTCGAGAAGTGATCTATAATATGTATCACAAAAGTAAGATCTTATTATAATAACTTATCAGAAATTTACATTAATTTGTTAACTAAATTATAATGTCATATTACACATGGTTTCAGAAGAACAAGTTAGTTACGATACAAACTTTATGGTCTCGATTAAGAGATAGGGCATTATTTGATGGTAGTGCCACGTCTTTAAGGCGGTTGCTTAGAGATCTTGGATTTAAGTGGCTTAAGGACAATCCGCGACGAGGGCTCATGGAACTACCAAGTATAGCTTTGAAAAGGGTGGAATTTCTAAGGCAATACAATCAAGCCAAGGTTGAGGCCTTATACCAGTTTGTCTTCCTCGATGAAACTTGGATATTTCAAAATGGGACCATAGGTCGCTCTTGGCAAAATGGAAACCAAAAAAGCGTGAAAGCTATTAAAACAGATGGTAAAAGGTATGTACTTTTACACAATTTGCACTATAAAATTTAAAACTAATATATTTTAGATACATTATATTACATGCTGGAAATGAAAATGGGTTTATTGAGGGTAGTAAAGCGATATTTTCTTCGAAAACAAAATTGAGCGATTACCATGGAGAGATGAACCAGGACAATTTTTTGAAATGGTTTCAACATCAGTTATTAGAAAAATTGGAGAGTCCATCTATGATTATACTGGATAACGCCCCTTATCACAGCATGATATTGAACAAAGTGCCCAACAATGCATGGACAAAAAAAAATATCCAAGACTGGTTGACAAATCAAAACATACCATTTTTAAACACAATGTTTAAAACAGAGCTATTGAGTATTGTTGCTCGGTACATAATGCTTCTTAATTATACAGGGTTACAGGAAAAGTCGTGCTAGATCCGTTAAGGGCGTGTAGTACCCATCATTTCTGACTTATTTCATTATGAAACACCCTACCCTAAACTTAACCCTTTTCGAGATATTCAACTTTTAATGTTTTTATTGAAAGTTGCCGATTTTTAGGCTACTAAATGTATTTATTTTTATTTTGTGTGTGTTATTATTACTATTATTGCATTTTAACATGTGTAATAAGATGCTTTAGGACGTCAATCATTAAAATAGTCCATAAGTTAATTGAATAGGCCGTAGTAGATAAGTGAATGTTAAGGAATTGAAAAAAATATCAGAAAGTTTATTTTTCTCGAAGGGATATCTAAAAAAAATATTATGGCAATTGTTCGGCAGATGTGTTTTAAAATATCTATGTTTTATCAGCTATCTAACGAGGTATAACAATCTAGGATTTGTATTACATTTCGTAGAAAAAAAGTAGTTGGGACGCTCCAGTAGCAGTTCCCACGCCTATTCTCCTTCAAGTTTAGACGCACCGTGCGAGCGAGACATGACGATTTAATGTGGGTGCGAATGAAAGAAAACATATTATAATAACCGGTTAGGGCTGGAAATCCAACACGGGATGTTGTTTTGGTTGTCAGTCTGCTTTTGTGCTTCGTACATAGTAGATGTGATATCGTTTTGCTCTTTTCCTCGACTTGGCTACGATTCTGGACTATTTCTTCTGATTTGTGAATACTGTGCTTGTTCACTGGACTCTGATTTGTACTTGTGATACGGAAGTGTTGAAGATGACGTTCTACACACCTGAGGAATATGCTGATATGCTTGTTTGTTACGGATACTGCGATTGTGTATCTGCGCAAGCTCGCAACGAATACAGAACTCGCTTCCCCGGTCGTCGAGTGCCGGATGTGGCCGTTTTTAACAGAGTTTATCTAAGACTTCGAGAAACTGGCTCTGTTTTGAGACGAAATACAGACCTGGGAAGATCACGAATTTATGACAACGAAGAACTGCAGGACAATGAGATAGTGCAACGCTTTCGAGCGGATCCGACCATTTCCACTAATCGTGTTGCCCGTGATCTGGGACTTTCGCAATGGAGAGTGTGGTTTACAGTGCATACTGCTGGCCTATACCCGTACCATTACACGCCGGTACACATTATTGAAGAAGGAGACCCCGCGAAAAGGTTGGACTTCAGCAGATTTATGCTAAATGCTGACGTAGAAGACCCAGATTTTCTAAGAAATATCTTATGGACAGATGAATCCAAATTTGATAACGATGGCATAACTAACTATCACAACGCCCATTACTGGGCCCCAAAAGTACTAAGGAATCCCAATAAGAAAAGAGTGGCGAGGTCCCAACGAAGATTCAGCGTGAATGTGTGGATGGGCATTATCTCCAACCATTTGATTGGACCTTACTTTCTCCCGGACAATCTAAATGGGGAAAATTACGAAAACTTCTTGAGAGGAGACTTCAGAGATTTGCTGGATGATCTGCCACTCAACTTGAGAAGGGACATGTGGTTCCAACATGATGGCTGCCCTGCCCATTTCAGGAGAAGTGTCAGAGACTGGCTGGACACAAATTATCCAAACAAATGGATAGGACGAGGTGGGCCGTTGCCATGGCCAGCAAGAAGTCCGGACCTAACCTCCATGGATTTTCATGTGTGGGGGTGCATGAAAAGTCTTGTCTACAGCGAGCCAAATCCAGTTTCGTCTGTGGAAGAATTAAGAGAAAGGATTGTCGATGCAGCAAATCAACTAAGGACAACGTTGACCACTGCAGTTGTAAAGACTGGTCTCCGTAGAAGGATGCGACAATGTATTAGAAACAGAGGCAGCCATGTTGAACATGAACTGTAGAGTAAGAAAAAGTTGTGTGAAAACCTGATTTAATAAATGATATTTCATGCTTACCTATTGTTTTATTTTACTTTTTAGGGCTAAGTATCAATTTTCTTCTCCACTGTCGCCTATGAAACTAAGTTTTTTCAATGCATTTAAATAAAATCCTAGATTGTTATACCTCGTTAGATAGCTGATAAAACATAGATATTTTAAAACACATCTGCCGAACAATTGCCATAATATTTTTTTTAGATATCCCTTCGAGAAAAATAAACTTTCTGATATTTTTTTCAATTTCTTAACATTCACTTATCTACTACGGCCTATTCAATTAACTTATGGACTATTTTAATGATTGACGTCCTAAAGCATCTTATTACACATGTTAAAATGCAATAATAGTAATAATAACACACACAAAATAAAAATAAATACATTTAGTAGCCTAAAAATCGGCAATTTTCAATAAAAACATTAAAAGTTGAATATCTCGAAAAGGGTTAAGTTTAGGGTAGGGTGTTTCATAATGAAATAAGTCAGAAATGATGGGTACTACACGCCCTTAACGGATCTAGCACGACTTTTCCTGTAACCCTGTATATATTTTGGTCGACAGTTTATATTTCTTTTGTTTATTCCTATTCTTAAAATAACTGCTTTTTTAGAAACAAACCACCTAAAATATACGTGATTGATGAATTGGCGGAACAACATGGGCACAAAGTTCTTCGTCTGCCTCCTTACCATTGTATATTTAACCCTATTGAGTTAATTTGGGGCATAGCAAAAGGTTACTATAACAGACATATTGGTAGAGATGGTAACAGTGAAAAAGACTGTTTGGATATGTGGAACGAGGCTCTACAAACGGTTACCCCAGACATGTGGAAAAATAGTGTTCGACATACTGAGCAAGAAATTTTTAAATGGTATGAGAGAGAACGAATTTTTGATCGACCAGACATCGAACCTTTAATAATCAACTTTGAGAGTGATGAAGATTCAGATTCAGACAGCGCTGAAGAAAGAAACTCCGACTAACTTTATTGTACAGAAAAAGCTTACACCAGTAGCTTACCTAATTTTAGAATGCATTTTTCTGTATGAATTCTGTAAAATAAATACCATGCATAAAATTTGGAGGACCCCATTTGGATTTTTATTCAGTACCTTTAAGCTATCAATTAAATATGGTAGTTTCATAGTGTCATCTGATCAATAATTGTCATACTTAATGATTATGCAAGTACAGATCTATAATTTTATTATACTATTATTTTTGTTCTCATTTGAGGTTAATATTGCTTATAAACCTAGATATGTAAATAATAAATTTTATTATTTTACAAAAAGTTTGGCAACAATGTAAATTTTTCAACACACCCACCTTGATGACGTGCACGCCACTTTGTTTGGCGTTGACTATATTGTACAGGGTAAATCAAAATGATGTTTCATTATCACATTTCATTTGAAAACATTTAAAACTCAAGCGTCAGTTGTGAAGCGCAGAAACACCAATTTTGTCTACTGTTTCGTGCTGTAGGTCCAAGCAATGCCTCGTTGCATACAGATTGAGAAAAGACGTATTCAGATGGTGGCCCTATTTCGTATCACCTCTCGTATATGAGTTGTTCTGTAAATAGATGTTCATGATCGCTATCGAACTAGTTATAAAAATGCAGCCTCTGAAATTTATGGGTTCTCTCTTATCCATCTTTCCTACTCTGGGTAATACATACATACAAATGTTGAACATATCAATTCCATGAGGTTTTGGCTGCCTCGGAATTATGACAAATAGGTTTGTAGAATCGAAATCTTCCTCCCTAAATTTTTCTTTAGACCCGCTCCTGCTACTCCATACGGTTTCTTACAGAGCATGGGGACAAATAAAATTTGTCAAAATTAATTGCGGTGGAATACGGCTTACCTTCGAGCTTCGCCATCGGGAACTGTTGTACATATCGTAGTTCCCGCAGCAGCATCACTGGTACTGGTAGCAGTATTCTCACTTCCCGCTCCGCTGCTGTTCATTTCAACCAACACAGCATTGTAATCCGGAGGTGGTGCAGGTCGAAATTCTTCTTGGCTGCGTATCGTATTTCTTTGCCTGAAAATGTGAATAGAGAAAAATGAAAGCCTCACTTCGGCCTCCCATTCTAACCGAATCGAACTTCGTGCATACAGAACTGGCCGATGCGACCGTCCCTTTGTCCCTAGGGAATCGAGATTATGGAACAGTCTATATGAGAAGTCTTTTCACAGTTCTGATAACCTAAGGCAGTTCAAAAATCGGGTTCGCAAAGTTTTTTAAGCTTCTCGGTGCCCTGGCATATAGGCTTCTACCTGCGTAGCTGTTTCTGTGTAAAAAAATTATAGAGAGATCCAGGATAATCGATCTTAGGATCCCTATATTTTGTCGGGAGTCGGTTTTCTTTATACTCAAGCAACTCGGAAGGAAATTGCCACTCTAGCCCCCAGTGGACGTATTTGACTTTTTGAATCGTATTCGCTTTTAGGATACTAACAGGCTCACTACCCCTACATCCGTACGTAATCCAACGACTTACCTAGACGATCCGGGTTCTCCCAGCACCCCAGCTGCTATCCTCCTCACGCTCCTCCTAATACTCTGCCTAAGCAGCTTGGCCAACCTCACTCCCGTTGCTGTAGTGTAGGAAGGGGGTGGCGTATACTTAGGGGGTGGATCTTCAGCAGGGGCGGAGCCTCCTGAAGATGGAGCGGAGCCCGTATTGGTTCTACTATTGGCGATAGGTGGGTCCGACATGTGCTCGCCTATCGGAGGTCGGTATAGAAGCTGCACCCTCTGGAAAATATCTTTTTTATTTACCTACTAGTACAACCTGAAGACTACTTATTAAATGCGCTTTGTGCTGTCTTATTTCGAGAAGTTATCTAAAATCTGGGGCACATTTGTGGTAACATTTGTTATGAACATTCACGGTTCCATCATTACAATGTTCATACAAAAATGAAAGTGAACTGTCCTATACTATAACTATCTAAAACTGTAATGACTCATCGATGTTCACGTGAACATCACTTAACTACCAGTAGTCGGCTGTTCATAGGCGGGGTATGAATGTTTAACATGGCTGAACTAGATTTGTCACATGCTTAATAAAGAGTGGTTTGAAACATATTGTAAGTCAAAAATTTGGGAATTACCTTTATTCATCGTCGCTTCCACTTACATCTGACAGTAATAAACTGTCGCTATCGCTTTCCTCGTTGAAATTGATTATAACTGGCTCTATGATGGTGTCGATGTGGTGGTCAAGCTGCCACATTTTTGTTTCTTCCTTCACAACATGACGGATAGCATTCTGCCAAGCTTCGGGCGTTACTAGCTGTATGGAAGTCTCAAGTAAAACCTTAACGTCTGGTAATTTGAAGGTTGTGTTATGGCGCACAATATAACCCTTCACTTGAGCCCAGATGAGCTCTATTGGGTTCATTTCACAGTGGTAGGGCGGTAACCGCAGCACAGTGACACCACATTGACGGGCCATCTCATCAGTCACGTAACTAATGTTCGCAGGTTTGTGCTATTTAATTTTTTCATACAATTCCGCTTTCACACATGAATCGTCAAACGGGATTGCTTTTTCGCGCAACCATTGCTGCATGTCACTTTTTCGGCTCGACAACTATGGTAGGAAGCATTATCCATGACGATCACAGAGTTGGGCTCAACTCGCTGAAGCACCCCTTGAAACCAGCTCTCGAAGCAGCTGGCATTCATTTCGTCATGGTAATCACCTCCTTTCTTAGAGACGAAAATCAAGTCACACTCTTCTAAAAAGCCACTATCGCTACCAATATGAGTTACGATCAATCTTTGACCTTTCCCTGACGGTCCACGAAGACCTGTTGACAAACCTTCAATGCTTGCTTGTCGGTTACTCACTACGTTTTTGTCTATCCAGGTTTTTTTAACTGTGTTACCTGCATTTATCCATGTCTCGTCCAAATAATAGATTTTTCTGCTTTGTCGCCTATATTCAATCATTTCGCGTAGGTATTTTCGACGCCAGGCGACTATTTCAGGTCTCTCTATCAATACTGACTTCCGATTACGCGTTTCGTAACGAAAATTAATTTCGTGCACGGATTTCCTCATTACCTCGACGCTCATTTGGGGTATAATTTCATTTTCCTTGATCGCTGCATGTACAGCCTTGAGGGTTGGTATCTCATTCTTAAAGAAGAATGAATGTACGGTTCGCCTTAACGTCATCCAATTTAACGGCCTTTCGTCCCTTCAAATTAAACTTTGGATCAGTAGTAGCTCCAGTTTTCTTCTTTTCATGCACCACCCTGCGAATGGTCCACTCTGGAACGCCTGTCATACTTTCACAACGCGCGAGTGCATCTCCCTGCGACATAGTTCTGTTCAGATAATTGAACACGTTGAGCACGATTTCTTTCGCGTCCCTGTTCAGTGCTTTACGAAGCCGTCTACTTGTTCCCTGGCTTTCAGTACTTCCACTCGTGCCATTTGTACTCTCCATGGTTAAGTATAACCAAAACAGTAACCACAGAAACCACAACTATAACAATCACACAACAATTCTTATAAAAACACACAATATGCGATCGCTCAACGAAACACGTTCCAATGCGTTGCCGACGCCTATGAGTCTGCCGGTCGAGGCGCGTCTCATTGGTTCTACCGGCGGAGAACAATCAGCCATTATTTCCATCTCTGTCTGTGCTGTTGACCACCGCAAAGCCACAGAAACGACATATGTCGTACGCTATACGGCTGTACTGGAAGGAAGCCGGGATCGAGCTCTGATCACGTGTTGATCACGCGTATGAGTCATTACAGTTTTAAATAGTTGTATAGTAAGTTTGCCCAGTTCTGGTACTTAACTTAAGTTAATTCATAACTTCCCGGAACTCTAGGAGACACATGATAAATATGAAATGTCTAGCACAAGTGATTGAAAAATCACAACAAATCTAAATCTTGAAGTATCTATTAGAGCACCATATACTATTTACGTGATTATTACAATAAAGTTATGTGCATCTTATTGACGTCTTAAAACTATCAGACATACACTTATTGAGTATAGAATACTAACATTATTTTCATCCACATATTCCTTGTGCAAGCATGAAATAATTAGAAGTAGGTTAGTTTTGAGAAAATAAATACATATAGAGAGAGAAAGAGATCCACGCGTACTCGTTTGACCCATCAATCAAACAATCATCTTCACAGGTATTATTCATTTATGTTAAATAAGTTGAATGAGTATATACCTCAAGAATATCATCTGGGCCATTGTTAAGATACCTATAACTTTGGATAACTGCAACGATCGGAATACAAAGTATTGGCAATAACTGCATCAAGCATCCAACTTGCCTAGTCCACAGTGACCAATACTCTACCGTAGGAGCACGGTGCCAAATGAACATATCTCTAAAGCTTCCGTTTCTAAACGTACTCACACAAAGAACCTAAAAAACGATAGGTTTTTAGTAAAATACATAATTGTTGAAAAATATTGTCGACACGTTGTTCACTAAGCTCAAGTCCCACAGACACCTTTGCTGAGCTTTTTGTTGGTGCAAACTTTGGAATCTTTAACTGTCAGTGCTAATAGTGCATTACCAATGCAAGGTGAAATGAGGCATCAAAATATTTAGTATTTTGCACTTGGTTCTTCAAAGACATTTTATTCTCACCATCAGTATCACTGGTAAAATGACATTCCAAGTAAAGGAAAGAAGAGCAGGAGCCCAAGTGAGGAAACATGCGTTATTATATCGATGAAACAGCTCCATTACAACTGTATCTCCACTGTAGGGTCTTCCTCGTACCATAAATACAGCAACAATTTGTAAGAGAATCACTATCAGTAACCACCAGATGCTTCCTATTGTGTAGTCAAAAAAGTATACCACGTAGATTCCCAACTAAAACAACAAAACAAAGATTGTCACACCTTAAGGAATACATAATGATGGCTGCCAATAAAAGTAGTCACTTCCTTCTGTGTCAAAAGCGAACTTTCAGGTGATTTTTAGCGTTTTCGTTTAGATATATAACGATACTGATAGTTTAATTTAAGTAGGATTACAATGACAACATGTCTGATAATTGAACGACCATAATGACTGGCTCATAGGGTCAGTAATCTTTTTTTTTGTAATAAGTATCTTTTGTATTTTCTTACCTCTGTTGCCATTGGCAGTCCCAGTACGAACCCACAGGCACAGCTGAAGAACGTTATAGTAGTTTCCCATGATTTCAAAACTTTTAAATTGATTGCCATGATGCCTGTGATGACACAGTGCCAAATAGCTAACTGCTGGATAATCCCAAACATGATCAAAATAAAATAAAAGAGAATCACCCAAAATGGAGACACTTGCTCTGCGCCAAGTGTTGCGAATGTTGCTGGTATCAACTCCGTTGCAAACCTCAGAACCTACAAAATAGTATAAAATGCCTGTGAAAACTGAAATGTATGGAATTTTATATTATAACAAGCTTATCTCAGAGTAGTTCTGTATATTCATAGTTTACTATTTTCGTATTATTGAATTCAGCTTTTTCTATAAATTGATTAAAATGAAATAATATGATATTAAATGCTAGGTTACCTGATAACCGCTTACTGACGTGACGTCTGTATTTGGACGAATAACTTTTTCTCCAACAACAAAGGATTGGTGGATCATATGCCTGATTGGTGTGTTAGCTAAATTTGGGGGCAGTGGATCTTTTATTGAACGAAGGAATACACTGGAAGACCGGTACTCTGCAAACACAAAACATAATCTTGATTGAGAGCCTTCCATCATCAACACGGCAACCTCGCCAGCATCCGTAGCTAACCTCTATATCAAAGTCAGCACAAAGTCCGATCTTTTACCGGAATCGGCCACCTCAAGAGAGAAGCAATAGCTGTGTGTTGGAACTGGACACCATTTCGCATTTGACAGTGGGTCACCACTGTGACCGCTAGTTGCTGCCGATTTTGGCAATACAGGGTGTCCGCAAAGTTGGGGTTTTCCTTTTCAGAAACAACTACCCTTGAAATAACAAAGGTAATGTGTAGTGAAACGAGGGCGACCAAGTAAAAAAAAATAAATGAAAAAGTACTCACTCTCCAGTTGACGAGAAGGGCTAAGTACGTCTCTGCCCGAAATCATACCGCTCCAACAGAAAATGAAATCAGCTGATGCGCTACCGAGCAGACGCCGGCGGTGGTGCAGACCACGAACAGAGGTAACAAATATGACGGCGTTGCCGCGTTTTCAGTTTTTAGGTAAACGTACTTTATAGGTATTGTTCGAAGTTATCGCCGTTTGATTCAAAAACACAGTTGCGTGCACGACGTAGCCAAGCATCGGTGCAGGCTTTGAGAATGGAGTCCCTCCCCCGAATGAAAGCACCAGCTTGTTCAATTCTGAGACGAAGTTCGTCAACCGTATGCACTTCAGGTTTGTACACCAAGCGTTTCATTTCTCCCCAAAGAAAAAAATCACATGGTGTTAAGTCTGGAGATCGCGGAGGCCACGCTACGGGTCCATTACGTCCGATCCACCTATGCGGAAATAATTCATTCAAAAACTCACGCACTTCGCGTCCAAAATGGGGCGGTGCACCATCGTGCAGAAACCACATTGATTGTCTTACACTTAATGGCACATCTTCTAACAAGGAAGGCAAAATGTTGCGTAAAAAGTCTAGGTATTGCATCCCGTCCAATCGATTTGGGAGAATAAATGGTCCAATGAGCATACCGTTCACCATGCCAGCCCAAACATTCACCGAAAATGTTTGTTGAAAATGTGCCCGACGGACAGCGTGCGGATTTTCTACTGACCAAACATGAGTGTTGCGAAAGTTATTCACCCCATTAGGCGTGAACGTAGATTCGTCTGTCACCAATATGCACTTCAAAAAGTCCGGATTATTGTCATGTTGATGCAACAACCACTCACAAAACCGCACTCTTGCTGGAAAATCGTCAGGTTGAAGGGCTTGTACACGTTGGACGTGAAACGGATACAGCCCCTCTTCACGCAGCATTTGCCACACTTTAGTTTTTGATACTTGCACTTCTCTAGTGCTTGTTGTTTTTTGAAACGCAATCGATTATACCGGTTCGTTTACCTCTGCACGCGTGACCGTAACCGTCGGTTGAAGGTTGCATACTGACCTGACACACTGACCCCGACCCAGTTCTGTCGTCGGGTTGAGCCAGTGACCTTGTACCAGTCGGTGATGTGGCAGGTCGCGGCTACAGGACGGTATTCAGATATTTTTGATGTTGCAGAGCCCTTTATCTCGGTTCCCTTAAGACATTGGTGTATATGGTACTAAGAAAAATTGCTTATGTTTTCAAGATCTACACGTCGTGTAAAGGAAAACCCCAACTTTGCGGACACCCTGTATAGTAGATACGGTATACTCGCTCTTAAACAAACTAGTGATGTAGCTTTCGTCCATCGTAACTGAGACCAAGCCTAGACATTTTTGATGAACTGCCAAAAAGCACGAAGCAGCTATCCATGGTTGGCTACGGATGCCGGCGATGTTGTCAAGGTAAGGGAAGACTATTAGGACCATAATTATGTTCTTTGATAACAACACTACTATAATACTCTCTCATGAATCTAGCGTTAACCATCGTATGCCACTGTTAACGAAGTGTTGCCTTTGAGCACATGTACACAAAGGCACATCGAGTAAGCAGTGGCGTATAATGAGTTAAGGTTTTTTTTCTTCCACTCTGGGACTATGCAAGCAATGCTACTTAAATAAAGATATGCTTACCAAAGGAGCTGGGTATGTAATTGTATCCATATGAGCTTAGAATAAGAACACAAGTATTCGCTAAAAACGCGGCGAGTATTAAAACTGTGAAAGTGATTACGATTACAAGACTAGAATCTCTTTGAAGTAGATGTTTGTGTTTATTTTGTGATGCTATTTGCATGGCTGATGCTCCCAGCAGACCCCAGGTCAGGAAAGCTTCTTGTCCAGCTGCTAACCAACTCTAGAAATAACACTAGGCATTACAAAAAAAAATAAGTAGGTACGTATTTTTACGATTTGGAAAAAAACTGTCTGAAATATTTAGGATGTTGCCAATGATAGACTTACATATAAATAAGTGAAGTACTATGTTTTGTGAAGCGTCGGCTTTTTTCCTACTGTGTTGACGCTTCTTTCGATCATCGACTGTACGTATCTCTACAGATAGCAAAACTTTTCAGTAACATTATAAACGAGCAAAATTTGGGTGGTTATCAAATCTTTTAAGCAAAATATCTGAAATACAAGTCCTTACCCTAGGATTGAGGAAAAATTCATCCCAAGCAGTTTCAGGGAAAATCACGTTAATGTATTCACTAGGCATTAAACCCAATACTTTGGCACATAGTACGAACATTCCTACAAGTGGTATCAGCGTGAAAGCATACACAACTTTTCCATATGACCTGCAAAAAGAGTATCCATTTAGACGATTTAAAAAATTCAGATTTTGGCCACCATCTACTCCGGGAAATATGAAGGAAATGATTAAGGATGCTTTTCTGAACATAAGGGAACACATGCTGTGTATTCAACATGGTGGAGATATTTTCGAGCAGTTTTTGTAGATTAGGTCTTGAGTAGTTATAGTTGTTTGTTTATGTTGTTGCTATAGTTGTTTTTCTCTATTACGCTTGAAGCTGGTTTATACTTTTCTGATTGTTATCAGTTTTTACGTCAAATCTGTACTCTTAGTGGCAATATGGAACTAGCCCACTGTTTGTCTTTTGTTTCCATGGATGATGTGATTTTTGAAATTTTTGAGAAAAAGTACAATTCGCGTTTTTGACCACCCTGTATGAGCAAAGACGAAAATTCGAAAAAGTAACAAATAAGATAAAAGCTGAGGTGTGTAAGTTTTTTTTGATACAACATTCAGCACTCCAAATTTCAAAATCGCGGATTGAGGGGTTACCGAAGTAGACGGTTTTTCTGGACAAAACACCTTACATCTCAGTAGCTAATTACCAAAACCCCAAATATGCATTAAAATTTGAGGTATTCCACTTAAAAGATCTCAGCTTTCTAGCTGTGTAGGTCAAAATTGGGACACCCTGTATGATTGCCAATATTTCAGAAATGTGCCCTCAAATGTCATGTATAACATGCCATAAATAGATTTTTTCAAAATGTATTTGTTTATGAGTAATATTCCGTTCACACATGGATGGGATACCAAAAATATGATACATACCTTATGCCTTTACTGAGGGATACGAATATGATCGTCCAGGCTACAGCTAAGTTAAAAGCTAGTTGGAATTTCACAGTCGCGTAGTTCTCTGTCGAGTTCAAATGATGCCTTTGCAAGACAATACCGTTCAAGTAATCTGGAATAGTTTCGCTTAGTTTTGCTGTGATGTTTACTGGAATAGTGGGCTCTGAAAAAAAAACTCGAATTAGTATAAATATTCAGAGTAACTTCTCTTGAAAACACGTTAATGCCAAAGAAAACGACTTTGAAGAAATGTATAGTATATCAATGCATAAGATTGGAAGTAGTATTCAGAAATATACATCATTGATCCATGTACAAAATTTCGCCGACAATTAAGAACAATATATAAACAAGGCCAGATGGCACAGCATAGAAATAACATGATTTTTTTTTGTAATGGAAGTAGGTGGAATAGAGTAAAAAAATTTAGGTCTGGACTTAAATACATATACATTACCATGCCTGTATATTCCAAATGGTTCAGCCCATCGGTATTGATCCTTGCTCGTTATGAACGAATCTCGAAAGAAAACGAACATCCATGATACCCCCGTGATACTGTAGAGTCCCAGAAGCGCTTGGGCAACCAATAACGACAAGCCAACACCTTGAAATAGGGGCGATATTCTCCACATATCGATGACACCGGCTTCTAGTTGCTGACCTACAAAAAACAATATACTAAAGTATGCTAACTACGTCGTCGAAAATTGTTTCAGTTACACTGACACTGACAGCTTATACCGACACGACATAGATCACTTATTTCGTACTGCTATGCGCCAGGAGTGAAGTGCATAGTGGGTGGGAACTAAATCGAATTTTCAAATGGTAAATCAAACTTACCTAAACATAACTGTAGCGTGAATAAGGGCAGGCCGAAAAAACATGATAGTAGCATGAATTGCAGCAGAAAATTAGCTCCAAAATGTACGGAGAGCACAGCAAATCTGCAGACGTTGAAAAGTCCTATGGTGCATCCCAAACAGGCCAGAGCTGGACTTAGACTGTGCGGCCACCGACCCATTGGCCTTTCTGGTTCGGTTTCGGTTACTGTTGGAATAGCAGATCCGTCACGTGACCTAAAAACAAAATGTGACAGTAAAACATTTTACTTCGAGTAAATCATTATAAAATATTTAGTATATATTGTAAAAGTTGCCGCAACAAGGTATTCAAGCGACGCCAAGTAAATAGTAAATGTGTCACACATCCCACAAAAATAGGATACCTGATCGATTAATGATTGATACCATAATATCATGATGAGGTCGAATAGGATCATAATAAATATATCTATTAATCGTCAGATCCTTCCAAATATTTGCCTTTCAAACATTCGATAACAGAATCCTCGTAGATAGTGAAATAATAATCAGTGGGATCTACTAAATAATCATAGTAATTGATAATCGAACTATTCGAAGAATTTTTAAGTAAGCGACTACAGGTTGTCTGAAATTAATCTTAGTCGACGATAGATGGTTAATCCCTACACTATGCCCATAATAAAGCTCCTCAAAGCTCTCCTCCATATTGCCGCCGCTGTACCTGTAGCTGCCAGACAGACCCGCCTGACTTCGGTCCCATGCTACTCGAACTTCGTATATCCAAAACTGGCCGATATGATCGCTCCTTTGTCGCTAGGGTATCGAGATCATGGAACAATCTACATGATGCTTCTTCTAATCTTAGGCAGTTCAAAAATCGGATAAACAAAGTTTATTTAAGCCGCGGTGTCCTGGCACGGCTGCTTCGGTGCAAAAAAATAAAGCTATAATTTTTTTTTTATTTTTCAAGTAATCCTAAAGTAAGGTCAGTTCACTTATTCAGCTAGTGCTCTAGCATTTTAATAGCTTGGTAAAAATGTGGTACGACTGTTGAAAACCAATCCTCTACCGAAGATATCACTTAAAAATTTTCTGTCGTTAATGCTATTTTAACCTTGGAGGTACTTTGACACTACTCAGGTCAGATCTTGCGAATGTAGTGAGTAATCCAACAATCCTAAGCCTGTTTGCATTTCTGTACAAGGTGTCTTTAAACACTCGAAAACTCAACACCAGCACTTGACTACAGGAAACGGCACAACCTCTCATACAAGCCACAATATTTAGATTTACTTACGGCTGTTTCCTCAATAGGATATATTTGTATTAAATGAATCAATAGTTCCAAGTATAAAGTTTTTATTTTGTCAACATATCTTTCCAATATCATTTGTTTTATTGCCAACAACATTCATAAAACAAACATCTGCAAAAGGCTCAAGCGCGGGGCATAGGTATCAATCTTCGCAAATTATATCGTTTACAATATATGTACAAAGTATCAGAATCGCGCCTTTTGGCAAGAAATACACTAGTTATCCCGACTTCTATCGTCGATTTATTAAAATGAATGTACTTATTTCTAGCTTACCCTGTATATAATTTCTTATTAGTAGATAAGTAAAATAAATAAACAATTAAGATAGGAAGCAGAACTATTATTATTAGTTATTACCTTCTGGAACTAGCTGTCGTATTATTTTGGTCCTGTGAAGTTTGGGGCATAGATGCTGGAGGTATAGTTCCTTGAGTACTATAAAAAGTCGTTGTGGTACTAACTTCACTAGGGGACAAGCTTCGAGCTCTTCTCGATCTGAAATCATATTAGTAAACCAAATTAAGCGATTGCCCTTTTCTTTATTCCACGACTTCTTGAAATATCAGCAAACAAAGCACGTATGTTTAGGATTGTTCTTTATACAGGTTGTTCCTTAATGATATGGGAATATTTAAGAGTGTGAAGCTACATGAAAAATTAATGTTAGTTTGCTTTATAAACTATGGTCCAAAAATATTTCCTTACAAAACCTCGGGGTGTTGAAGTTTCAGGAAAAAATGGAAATTAATTAATATTTTCAGAACCGCTTCAGATATTTTACTGATATTTAGTACGTAGTGAAAGTTAATACAGTTGCATATTTTTCAATGCAAAAATAATTTTTAGCTTTAACAGTGGTGTGCATACGGGTATTGACTTCAATATTTTACAAGAAAAAAATGGTACGCCAATGGTTTTTTGACAAATAATAATTATTTTTGAACTCCCGTTCAATTTAAAATAAATCATCTCTCTTGAGTTGCTTTCCCTCGATGCGCTATTTTCGAGTCAAAAAAACAAAACCGTTCTATTGTCCGAGAAAATTAATGTAATAATTGAAAAATGCAATTTAGCAATAAATATATAGTTGTTCTGGAATATGACACTGGCTTTTGACATCTGACAAGTCTCTGTGTCAAATGCAGAAATGGGGGAAATGCATTACGAATATGGCCTTGCCGACGGTAATGGTGAGCAAGCCAGACGGATTTATCACCAGAGATATCCCGATCGTGCTTTGCCAGATTGTCGAACCTTTTCTAATAGTCATCGTCGTCTTGTTTAAACTGGTTCTGTTCGAAAAGGAACATCTGAAGGTAGACCTCAGAGTGTGAGAGCACCTGAAATTGAAGAAGCAGTGCTGCACGAAGTCGAAGAACACCCTGAAACGAGTACGAGGAAGATCGCTAGACACTTAAATATTTGTCATCAAATTGTTTGGAGAATTTTAGTGGATTTTTCTGTTATATCCTTACCATATTTAAAGAGTACAGGCATTACTTCCCATTGATTTTCCAAAGCGTGTGACCTTTTGTCAGTGGTAACTTCAAAAAATTACACAATATCCGCAATTTCAATCAATGATTCTGTTCACGGACGAAGCTAATTTTTCTCGAAATGCCATTCAGAACTTCCACAATAATCATTTGTGGTCAGAAGAAAATCGCCATGCTGTAACCAAAACCCATTTCCAACATCAATTTGCGGTTAACGTATGGGCAGGAATTATTGGCAACCACTTTATTGGCCCATTCTTCTTGCCGGGACGACTTGATGGACAGACTTACCTCAATTTTCTTTGCCTTTGCTGCTTGATGATGTTCCGTTAGTAATAAGAAACAATATGTGGTACATGCATGATGGTGCACCAGCGCATTTCAGAGTATCGGTTCGTAATTATTTACAAACTGTTTATCCAAATCGTTGGATTGGCCGCGGTGGACCCCAAGAATGGCCACCAAGGTCCCCAGACCTCAACAATTTAGATTTCTTTTTGTGGGGCTATCTTAAGACACTAGTGTACACAAGTCCCATTAACACTGTAGAGGAATTAAGAGAAAGAATAGTTGCAGATTGTGATAGAATAAAAAACACTCCATGGATACTTCAACGAGTGCGCAATTCCATGAGAAGGAGGGCGGAAGCAAACATACTAAGTGAAGGGGGCCGTTTTCAACAAGTTTTTTAATCATTTCGTTAGTTTTAATGTTATGTTTATGTTTTCAGTTGTTGCTGTTCATTACCCCAAATGTGATTAATTTTTAAAATTAAATTAATAATAATTTTGCAATAGAACGGTTTTTATTTTTTACTCAAAAATGGCGCATCGAAAGAAAGCAGCTCAAGGGAGATCATTTGTTTTAAATTGAATGGGGACTTAAAAAATAATTTGTATTTGGAAAAAACCATTGGCGTACCATTTTTTTCTTAAAAAATATCGATGTCAATACCCGTACGCACGGCACTGTTAAAGCTGAAAATTATGTTTGTATTGAAAAATATGCAAATTTATTAACTTTCCCTGTATACTAAATATCAGTGAAATATCAGAAGCGGTTCTGAAAATATTAATTAATTTCCATTTTTTCCTAAAACTTCAACACTCCGAGTTTTTGTAAGGAAACATTTTTGGACCATAGTTTATAAAGCAAACTAACGTCAATTTTTCATGTAGATTCACACCCTTAAATATACGCATATCATTAAGGAACACCCTGTATTCTACGACGTGTCGGTCCCAACGGTGACATTTTTCAAAGTACAAGTGACACTTACAATTGTACTTGAAGAAGACCGCCGTTGGGACTGAAATGACATATATGTTGTTACTTCGTACCAAATAAGTTTTAAGCTATGGTAAAGTACCAAAATGGAGAAGAGTAGCGTAACGCATCGTACGCCACTGATAACGCGATATGCCTTTGAGAACGGTAAAATTCACTGACGAAAAAGATTGGTGGATCTCTGAAAATACGTTTCTTCTTCAATATAATCATCTTTAAGTTCAACAGATTTTTCCAGTGATTTGGAGTGGTCGGCCCGCTCTGCCGATCTGGCCCCTTGTGATTTTTTTCTATGGGGTTTTTTGAAATACCGTGTTTATGTAAACCATCCAACCTACAAGTCCAGCATCAAGGAAGAAATTGCCATCATAACTCCTGCTATGCTGGCAAGAGTCATGACTAACGTCAGATATCGGTTTCCTCAGTGTATGAAGAATGAGGGACGTCACCTATCTGATCAATTTCTTCTCCAAAAGTATATAAAACAAAACTTTATTCAAACGCCTACATGACAAAAAAACGACTAAAAATGTTTTGTTTCATACAATTAAGTTTTGAAAAAAGGAAGTTATGATGTGGAACCCTGTACGTCTACTTCAAATCGCTGTAAAGAGATCAGCTTGAAACGGCATACCTGCGTGTTCGTAGGGAGCGTCTAGTCGTTTTCTAAAACCAGCGACTAGTGTATGCGAATCCAGAAGCTTTTTAAATCATCTACTTTCTAGTAAGTTATTCCATATTGATTCTTGACTATAGATATTTCAAAGAAACATACACATAAATCTCCTTTACCTCATGAAAATTTGAAATGTTTACAATATAAAGGAATAATATTTTCACGGCAAAAGAGTACCAAAGGTACTAAAACACGCCATACATATGTATGTTCCTCAAGGGCGGATTCAGGATTTCGTCTAGGGGGGGGGGCGCAAACGATATTTGGGGCTGGTCATTTTTTAACCTCAGTGGAATTTATCCTATTATTGCTCCTTAAATCCATTATGTTCTGACTGGTCAAGCCCAGCTTGAAAAAGAAAACGACGTTAGAAATTGCTCAAAAATCCTCAGAAAGCCAATATTTATATGAGAACAAAATAAGTACGTGGCATTTATAATTAACTAGTGTAATAATATTAAAGATTCAAACATAAAAAACTCTGTTAACCGACAAAAAATAAATAAAACATTCTGAGGGACCCCGAGACATATCCCAGTCGATTCCACACAAAACAATGTCTCTGATTGCGAAAACGAACATGAGACCAAAAAATTCACATTATCGTATGGACGCTAGACAAGACAAAGAAGGATGTCTGTAGACCATCTATAGATCGTGTCTTGAGACCGTCTCCAGACTGCCTTTAGACAAATTACGCAACGGGGTCTACTAGTATGTAATAAGCTTAAGGATTAAGACTCTGAACAAATCAAGTAAGTGGTGCACAATCAAGCATTTCCATTATATCAGCAGTATGAGGCATGTATTCCTCCATTCCGACCTGGATAATTTCGGTTATCGAAGAACAGACAGCCGACGCATCCTCGTCAGTGAAATAGACATTTCTCCAACGAAAGGTAGAGAAGAAGTCTCTGAACCCCTCCCAGTCGGCATGTCCGTAATGCCAAATTTTGCGGTCTGTGCGAGTTTCTGCTGAAACAGCGGGTTCTGACCGAAACCTTACCTCCACAACACAGTGGTCTGAGTTACCCAGGGGAGGCAGGACAGCAGAGCTGTAAGGGACAAGATGCGTGGTCAGAAAGAGATCCAGCAGGATACTGGCATGTGACGAGACGCGGGGCAAAAAAAGTAGGGCCCGTCACCAGCTGGGTCAGCCCTTGAGTAAGAGCGAACGCTTTAACTGCACGACCTGCTCCATCGGTCTTGTTTGAGCCCAACCAAAGCAAATTATGGTCATTGAAATCACCGAGGAAAATAATGTTCAGGAAGTCGATCTTGACGATGAGGTATTCAAGAAGGTCATCCCAGTTATGGTTCGAAAAGCGATAAAGGCAGCAAATAAATTTGGGGGATGTTTTGAAGTTGAGGCGAAGCCACAGAATGTCCTTCCGGTCTGATTTCAGAGAAACATCTCTGCAGCACGAAGGACTGCTGCGGACAAAGGCCACAACTCCCCCGTTCTTTCTCAAATTGGAGTGCACCTCGTAATTTGGTAAGCTAAGACGGTTAATCGGTACGGACTCTGAGATTTTTATGTTTGTACTAAACAAGTACGTGAAAACAGGGCTGTACATATTCACATACAGTGCAGCAGCTCTGTGATTTAAACGAATTCAATATAGCAACATAAATAGACACGTACATACGCTAGAAGAAATGCGGGACGTGTGGTATTGATTTTGAGCATCGATCGACACAGTTTCTAGACAGGCCACAGGTGCACCGCTAAACAAATCTCATAAATGTCTATTTCCAATTTAGGCATTCACCTAACATAGTGCTTCGCTACAACACCAACCCTGAACAAAATCAGTCAAGCTTTACACACTTTTCAAATTACTATTGAGCAACAAACAGAACATAAATCACTTTTTGAGTGGAATCTGTATACCTAATATATTACCCAGACTTAGATTTGTCACAAGTCACAATACTCATATATACTTATAAATCGTAAGAGTTGTGCTGTAAACAAGTGATGTCAAAGAGGGACGGACAGCATTTGGAATAGCAAAGGATACCAAAAAATCATAATGCACATGATGTGACAGAAAGTAACACAATGGTGTTAGATTGCAAAAGCAAATGTCAGACGTCTAGGTGGGGCGCCCCCTCTAAATCCGCCAGTGATATTCCTTGAACAAAATTCGTGAATATTTCTTGCTTAACTTACGTAGACGATAATGAGCTACTTCTAGTCCTACTCCGACGATTCGCTTCTTGTGATGATTCACTATGGTCCCTTGAAGTTACTGGTACTTCCGAAGGTGCACTAGAGGGCCTAGCAGTAGTCGTTTGAGCAGTCTCTAATCTTGAAGGTACGGGTTCTTGTGATGATATCTCTGTGGGCGACTGATCCGTAGGAATGCTGAAACAACACAAAAAGTGAAGCCTGATAGATTGGTTATTATCATATTAATAGTTGGGGATTATGCTCCAGTCATTTCTATGTTTCTAAGTTCAGTAACAATACGAATCCAAATCAAAAGTTTCCGATATGGTTAATGATTGCAAAAAATAACATCCGCTCAAGGATCTATGGGCCATTTTTTGAAGAGTCTAAAAACTATTTCGCCCGATATACAGGATGTCCGCAAAGTTGGGGTTTTCCTTTACACGACGTGTAGATCTTGAAAACATAAGCAATTTTTCTTAGTACCATATACACCAATGTCTTAAGGGAACCGAGATGAAGGGCTCTGCAATATCAAAAATATCTGAATACCGTCCTGTAGCCGCGACCCGCCGCGATATCCCCGACTGTTACAAGGTCTCAACCCGACGGCAGAACTGGGTCGGGGTCAGTGTGTCAGGTTAGTATGCAACCTTCAACCGAGGTAAACGAACTCGTATAATCGATTGCGTTTCAAAAAACAACAAGCACTAGAGACGTGGCTAGAGAAGTGCAAGTATCAAAAACTAAAGTGTGGCAAACGCTGCGTGAAGAGGGGCTGTATCCGTTTCACGTCCAACGTGTACAAGCCCCTCAACCTGACGATTTTCCAGCAAGAGTGCGGTTTTGTGAGTGGTTGTTGCATCATCATGACAATAATCCGGACTTTTTGAAGTGCATATTGGTGACAGCCGAATCTTCGTCCACGCGTAATGGGGTGAATAACTTTCGCAACACTCATGTTTGGTCAGTAGAAAATCCGCACGCTGTCCGTCGGGCACATTTTCAACAAACATTTTCGGTGAATGTTTGGGCTGGCATGGTGAACGGTATGCTCATTGGACCATTTATTCTCTCAAATCGATTCGACGGGATCCAATACCTAGACTATTTACGCAACATTTTGCCTTCCTTGTTAGAAGATGTGCCATTAAGAGTAAGACAATCAATGTGGTTTCTGCACGATGGTCATATTTGTTACCTCTGTTCGTGGTCTACAGGTCTGCACCACCGCCGGCGTCTGCTCAGTAGCGCATCAGCTGATTTCATTTTCTGTTGGAGCGGTATGGTTTCGGGCAGAGACGTACTTAGCCCTTCTCGTCAACTGGAGAGTGAGTACTTTTTTCTTTATTTTTTTTTACTTGGTCGCCCCCGTTTCACTACACATTACCTTTGTTATTTCAAGGGTAGTTGTTTCTGAAAAGGAAAACCCCAACTTTGCCGACACCCTGTATACTACAGATATGCATATTTTGTATATTGCATAGTACTCGTCAGTAAACCTGGGCCGCATTGGTCTGGAACACCGAAAATCTGACCAAAAAAATACAGTTTATACAAGTTTCAGCACAACAGAGTTTTTTGGTCGCTTTTTTTTATACTCCAACTACCACGAAGGCCTAAGGCCTAAGCACCCATTGGGTACCGTGGGGCTATGGGGGATACATGGGAAAGGGGGAACGCCACACGGACACACGTGTGCATGCAACATACACACATTCTGGCTCCGCCTACGAGATCCGCCGGGTGGTACCTCCGCGTTCGACAGTCAGAGACCGTCTACCACCTACGGACAATCACAACATCCATAGCCAAGAGAAAAATGTCTCCTGGGACGGGACTCGAACCCGCACAGCGCACGGCCACTGATCAGGAGACCGAAGAGTCTACTACTGCGGCCACCGCTGCTGCCTGGAGTATGGATGAAAGGTGATACAATTAAGAGTTTACGAAAATATTTGGCGAACGTAGTGATGGTACTTTATGTTGAGTAAATTGGGAATATTTTTACCTTAAGTTAATTATGCCTGTTACCTTAATCGGTCCATCCTTCTCATAGACCCTCTCCAACTGCCTCGCCGCCTCCTTTTTTCTACCTCAACCTCATCGTCACTTTTCGGCCACGTCGTGACGTCACTACTCGTATTGCACATCATGTTCTCATACTCTAATGACATATTCGGCCAAATTTGAGACGTGGAAGATGATATGGTAGAACTATCTTCCAGATTGCACCTAGAAAACAAAATAATTATACAAATAATGTCAGAGATTTACGGCTTTATAATCTACACGGTTTAATCACAATAGTGGAGAGTTACTGTGTAAAATCGACAACAATTTATAAAAAAATAACTTTTGTAAGCGTCCCACACGGACCCCTTTTGGGGCTGTTGTTCTAGAAGGTTGTGTAAGTTTATTATGGTCGATAAACAGCGTACCAGATAACGTCAGTATACCGATTTTTTTTCGCATCTAAGGTCAAGAGACTAGGATGGAAATTTTGCCTTGAGAAACTCCAAAGCTCAAGGAAGAAATCTAAGAGATATTTCGATCCCGTTTTTTAGGTAAGTCGAGTGAGTATATAAAGAATCTAATATCAGTTTTTACATACGCATGGACTAAGGTTGGTCTCAGGACAACGAACGAGAGCTGAGCAACTATCCTCTATTCAGAGTACAAGGTCTATAGAAGTGTCATCTATCACCAGAACCATTGCGACAGTGAAAACAATTAAGCTGTCTCTTGGACTGTAACTCAGTTCGCATTATCAGTCGAGTCATCACTGTGACCCCTAGATACCGCCGATAATGGAGCTGATTTCTCTCTCGCAGCGGTGATTCTGATAATAGATGGTAATGCATTAAACATTTTTTACTCTATCCAATCTCGACTAAAACTCATTTATGTCATTTTCCGCTGAGCTCATTGGGAGGTTCCCAGAAAGTCCATGTTTCCTCAAACGTTGCTACTCAACACAGATTCCTTAACGCGTAGACATGACGGATGAACATAAAAGCTTTGCACTATGCATTAACTTTAAATACATAATGAGTAAGAGACACTTATTAAACGTCTACCTTTCTATTGTATATCCCCACCTTTCTACCTCAAATATTTTGTGCTATAATGGGGATCGTCTGTTGATGCACAACGAATCTTTATCCTACAAAAGAGAATAGTCAGACTCTTATTCTCATTGAATCCTCTGGAGTCTTGACGAAAAATACGAGTATTTAAAGATGAAAAAATAATCACGTTAACATCATTACTCATTCTAGAGGCGTGTCTTCATGTGAAATCATATCCTTCCAAATTCACTTACCTAAAAGAGTCCCAGAGATACAATCTGAGCAATAATAAGGTTATATTGGACAACTATAGCCTCATCACATACCATAATAGCCCTGGCTACCTATATGGATCTCTCTTCAGTAACTTGCCCTCTGAGTTAAAAACCATCAACGACTTAAAAGTCTTCAAACAACATACTTGTACTCTTAAGTGTTTTTACTCTCTACCAGAGTTTTATAATTCTTAATAATTACATATTTAACTATTTTATTGATTCCTTTACTTACATAAATATTATGCTGCATACTTTTTTCTATTTTTAATAACGTATCACCTATTTTATTCTAATTTAATCATGTATATTTTTCTTTTACTTATGTAAATCTGACCTTTACCTGTTGACGTTTGATATCCGCAAAGCAATTCGAATAAAACTTATTATTCTTATAGTTATTATTATTAAACTTTGAAGCTTAAAAAATCTGAACAAACAAGAACGAAGTTGATAAACGACCTGCTAGAGTTTAACATATTGCAATGGTAAAAAAACGCAGAGAGACGAACCGACGAAAATAAGCGGCATGGCCTTCTGTGTGTAATCAAACATCAAAACAGTTTCACCATCATAACACTTCCTTTAAACGCGAGAATAGAAGGGTTTTTCAAAAAAGCTAGCTCCCTACCTAGCCCTCTTCTTGCTCCTCTTCCCTTCCAACTCCCTTCTTCCCACAGCCACAGTGGCGCACATCCTTTTGCTGGATCGCGTGCACCTCTCGTGAGCCTTTTCCTCGCAAACGGACGCGGGCCTAACTTCTGAGGGTGGCTCTGTATCCACATACCCGTTGTTCACGCACCCCTTAGCAAACATGGCATAGTTCTGTTCGATATGACGCAGATGGTCTCGCAGACACTCTGTCGTATCTTTGGAGGAGTACGTCGAGGTAGTGACGCTACTGCTGAGGTCCAGGGTGCCGCTTGACTCAGAAGACGTGTCCTCTTGGGTATTAAGATAGTTGTCCAGATCCTATAAAAAGAATTTGTCACATGAATTACTACAGTTTAGTTCCTCGCCTGAGAAGGTTTTGACAGGAAGAGTCTAAGAATTACAAAATCACTTTGAGGAGACTGCATCTACGAGGTCTGTAAATTAAGTGACGAGACTGGCAACGTAGGGTTCGAATCTTTTATGTTAACTTAGCACAAGCTATTTTATGTTGTTATGAACTCGTTTTGTAGGTGTACGTGTTGCTTAAATGTCAGCTAACAGCGATCATAGCAAGTAAACGTGGAATGAACTATTTGCACACTAAAAACTACCTAGTCTGCATGATGACATTTGGTAAATTTTTTTGACATAATAACCCTGCTGGGAAGTATTAACCACCGTTCATCAGATCAACAATAGCTGCTCCTTGTCAAACAGCGATGTCAATAAACGAGTTTTTGGCCAGTAAAACCATTCTGTGGCTCCTCAGCCTCGTTATTCGCCTGACTTGAGACATATTTGAATGATGCATTTAAAAAAATCATTCTCATCACTTAATTTACAGACTTCGAAGGAGCTATAATCTAGTCATATTAGGGGTTTCATCTTGGAATGAGTGATAATAAGCTGCAAACTCGTAGAAGCCTTTATTTTGTTATTCCAAAAGTGGTTTCAAAAGTCTTAGAAAATCTCGTGTCCGCGTCTCAAGATATCAAAGGCCAAAGGTCACAAGAAACGTTTTTTGCAAAAATTTCGCTTCGCTATTTGCATTTATCATGGATATTGTAGAGAATATAATTCTTTACTACTTTTGTTTCAAATATTTTTTCATAATATTCACCCTTTTTCAGATAAAGGGCCAACAGTGCGCAGCGCTTAGCTATTGTCAGTAGTGGAAGGTCAACCGTTAGTCCCGATAAATAATACGCCGTGTTAAGTGTATATAGATCATTAAAAAATATCTAGTTATGCATAATTAGCTTTTTCAATAATTTCTGCATTATATTTTTTATATTTTTGACATATTATAAAATACTCGTATATGCTTATATGAAAATTCGCAGAACTCAAAAGAAGAATTGCCATCAACAAGCTCACATATGTTATACAGGCTGAGTCGTAATAAAGTGCACATATCAAAATCAGGGAAACTACGCCCTATTTTATTGACGGAAAGATTATCAAAAAAAAAACAAAACCCATTAATTGATTTTTTATGAATATTTTCAAATTTTTAGAGGCAGCTGCTAACCCGATTCAAATAAATCGTTACAGCTTTTAAACCAAATGTCCTATAATATTGGAACACATTTTGTAGTGATAATTAATAATAGGCCGTGCCCATAAAGTGAAAAATTCCGATATAAGTAATGCCTTAAAGGGTATATGGGACGATCTTTTTAGAGATTTTAAAATGATGAAAAAAAAACAGATTTTCATCAAATTTCTGTTTATTTTAAATTTATGGCGTTACTTTTATCAATTTTTTTAGCTGTATGGCACATTTTTAAGAAGTATCTTCAGCGCATGTTCAAAAAATTATGGGCTCCAAGATGATTCTGTGCCTATAAGGGTTGGCTTCTCAAAACTGAAAAAAATACGTAGAACCCAAAGAAAGAGTTGTACCAACAAAAAAGTCATATATGTTATGATTTTTTGCATATATGTACTTGTTGGTGATGTAATTCTTCGTTTGAGTTCTGCGATTTTTTTTCGATTTTGGGTAGTCAATCTTTATAGGCACTAGAATCACTCTGTAGTCCCCAATTTTTGGCATAGCGATATAAGCTTGTAAATAATGTTATTACCTATAATATTCATAACAAATGCGAATAGCATTACACCCATAGGAAGTGATCTTTTTTCAAAAGACGCTTTTTGTGACTTTTGACCTTTGATGTCTTAAACGGTGGACAAGAGACTTTATGAGACTTTTACGATAGGTTTTATAATGGCAAAATAAAGGTTTCTAAGAGCTTACAGCTTATCTCATTCCGAGGTTGTCCCTTTTTTATGGTTTATACAATTTGACTACTAAGAAGCGCGAAATCAAAAAATCCCGCATACAGATACATGATATAGTCCTGATGTACTAATGAGTAGACGAAAAAGTAGTGGAGAAAATTGATTGGAAGTTCATGAAATATCTGAAGCACCTCCACTTTTTTAGAGACAAGCAGTATTGATACCGTCATCAGCGAGTTTCATCAAGCACTCGTGGAGTAAGCTGTGTGCGATATCTCCACTTCTATGCCAACATCAGAAAACCATTCGCTTCCAGGTATCTCAGAACTGGCAGCCTTCTTCTCGAACAAGCATGTGTTGCCCACCAGGGTGATACCAAGTGTCCTCCATGGTACCAGCTTTGGCTTTTATATAAAAACAGCGTAAACTATACACAGACGATAGATCATATCCGCTTGTGTGGTTTCCAGATGCTTGTCTCCAAGGCTACACCTATAACGCGCTGCTTTTTTTATACTCCAACTACCACGAAAGCCTAAGGCTTAAACACCCACTGGGTACCGTGGGGCTATAGGGTGATACAGGGGAAAGGGGGGACGCCACACGGACTCTGGCAAGGGAACACGTGTCCCAACTAGCAAAGTCGTGGTATAAGCTTTTGGTAAAAGAACCGTTCAGCCATAAAGGCTCTCTATTGTTGTTGCCTGAACACCAAAATGCTGGCTTAATGTTGTGTGGAATGCAAATTTGCTTTCTGCAACATATTTGCTCCAATGTAAGGTGATTAAAATATTCTTATAGCATAGTTATACAACACCTTATAGGGCAAATTTTTAACTGTTGCATAAGCGTTTACACAACTATTTTATATGGCATATTTGCACGTTAGTCAAAATGGTTGTGTTGTGGCATCCATGGTAACGTTTATAAAACAAACCCGAGCCTTGTTGCTTTGCTGTACAATTTGCTACTTTAGCCAACAAATTGCTCCCAACGGAAGCACTTATACAACTGTTGTTTAGTAACTGTTAAAGGCTGTACATATGCTAAATATGTTGGTATACAACTTCACCATAACCTAACTTTCTGCTGTCATATTTTTGTTAAAATGCCATAACCAAAGACAACCAACGCATGAATATTGGTTCAAAATGTTTTATCAACTGTTCAAACAGAAGATATAGATCTGGTACAAATTCTGGGTAAATCATTCGACTCTATCGGTATTTCATTTCAGACATTTATGAAATTGTTGTATAACACCTGCAGGCATCACCAAAATATTCTAATAACCTAAAGACAACATGGATGATGCCATGTTATACACAACCACCCGCCATATTGGGCAAACATTTATTCCTCTATTTAATATTAAATAATTATGTTTCAGTTCGAAATTACAGATATAAAGTGATAAATATTAGTGTAATTGTGTCTAAATATAGGATTTGTGGAAGATTTAACGCAGATAAGTTCAGTTTTCCATCTTAAAAATCTAGACGTACTTTTGATCATTATCAAAATATGAATCAAATACGAAGCCCGTAGAAATTGCGTAACTAATTTGCACGATAATCACAATAAAATTTGCTGCGCAAGTAATTCAATAGCCCTATATCACAGTGTAGAAGTTTATCATATTCCTGTGTATGAAATTCACAATGGCCGATATGTAAGTAGACAAGATGACTGTAATGTGTTAGTTATATATTCTTCTTCGTCTATACAATACATAAGAAATAGTTTGGTTGCAATAAAGTAGAATCACGTAACAGAATAGTTGTATAGTTGACAAAAACTGAATCTTGCACTGACGCAAATGTCCTATAGCGGCTGCAAGAGGCTTACACTTTTGTTGTATAACTGTTACCTGCAGCCCTTATACAACCTCTTAAATGACTTAAGTGTCCTATTAGGTGTGCCCATTCCGCTTGTAGGTATATCAGTTCTAAGAGCGTTTTGCCGATGTTCTTGCAGTATACAATGCTGTTTAAGGAATACTGTATAATCATTCTTGCAACTCTAATAGGAGTGATAATTGTTAGTAGGGGTGCATGCAACATGCACACATTCTGGCTCCGCCTACGAGATCCGTCGGGTGGTACCTCCGCGTTCGACAGTCAGAGACCGTCTACCAACTGCTTATTGCCAACAAATGCGAAACAACGTTGTATACTGTTGGTCATGTTCACAAAGACGAGAGCGAACAGATCTTATTCGTACAACAAGCTTCGTCGTTTGGATAATATGACGCTGTTGCTCGTGGTACTATCAAGTGAGCTGCGGGGACCAGTTTCAGACTGGCAAACTGCTTTCAATGCAATAAATGCATTTTTTTCTTTGATATTAAATTTGATTTTTGCAGATTCTAGGAGTGAATACTGCATCTTATTAAATATGAAGCACCTAAACTAACAGATCATCTTTGAAGGAACTTATTCAAACAGAGCTTTGAAAATTGCTGCAGTCGCTGGGATATAGATTGTTCTCACTTTCAAGCTTCTATCTCTACTCAAAAGCTGAGATAAGTGCTTCAAGTACCTGGAACGACTCACCGAATAATGCTTTTCTCATTCCACTAATCTTAACTAGCTCAAAACTAGTATCAACAGGTTCTCCAAGATCCATGTGTTTAGATAATATTATACAAAGATTACATTGTGTACGAGTATCTATATGTATATACAGTGCCCAACTAGCAAAGTAGTGTTATAAGCTTTTGGTAAAAGAACCATTCAGTCATAAAAGCTGTCTATTGTTGTTGCCTGAACACCAAAATGCTGGCTTAATGGTGTGTGGAACGCAAATTTGCTTTCTGCAACATATTTGCTCTAAAATGAGGTGTTTAAAATATTCTTATAGCATAGTTATACAACACCTTATAGAGCAAATTTTTAACTGTTGCATAAACGTTTATACAACTAATTTATACGGCATATTTGCACGTTAGTGTGTTGTGGCATCCATGGTAACGTTTATAAAACAAACCGGAGCCTTGTTTTGCTGTGCAATTTACTACCTTAGCCAACAAATTGCTCCCAACGGAAGCACTTATACAACTGTTGTTTAGTAACTGTTAAAGGCTGTACATATGCCAAATATGTTGGTATACAACTTCAACGTAACCTAACTTTCTGCTGTCATATTTTTGTTAAAATGCCATAACCAATGTTTTAAGACAAACAACGCATGTTGTATAACACCTGCAAACAACACCAAAATATTCTAATAAACTAAAGACAACATGGACGATGCCATGATTATACACAACCACCCGTCATACTGGGCAAACATGTATTCCTCTATTTAATATTAAATATTTATGTTTCAGTTCGAAATTACAGATATAAAGTGATAAACATTAGTGTAATTGTGTCTAAACATAGGATTTGTGGAAGATTTCCATCTTAAAAATCTAGACATACTTTTGATCATTATCAAAATATGAATCAAATACGAAGCCCGTAGAAATTGCGTAACTACTTTGCACGATAATCACAATAAAATTTGCTGCGCAAGTAATTCAATAGCCCTATATCACAGTGTAGAAGTTTATCATACCTGTGTATTAAATTCACAATGGCCGATATGTAAGTAAACAAGATGACTGTAATGTGTTAGTTATATATTGTTCACTTCGTCTATACAATACATAAGAAATAGTTTGGTTGCAATAAAGTAGAATCACGTAACAGAATAGTTGTATAGTTGACAAAAACTGAATCTTGCACTGACGCAAATGTTCTATAGCGGCTGCAAGAGGCTTACACTTTTGTTGTATAACTGTTACCTGCAGCCCTTATACAACCTCTTAAATGACTGAAGTGTCCTATTAGGTGTGCCCATTCCGCTTGTATAGCTGTTCTAAGAGGGTTTTGCCAATGTTCTTGCAGTATACAATGCTGTGTAAGGAATACTGTATAATCATTCTCGCAACTCTAATAGGAGTGATAATTGTTAGTTGGGTGGAATCCACTTGTAATGAACTTGGAAAATAATGGACACAATTTAAGGTCCTATAAATAATTACATGTAAAATCCTTGGATATTATAGACTCGCTTAAAATAGACCCTCGCTTACAGCGGACTATTTTAATCCATTATATGCGAGCTATTTTGGTAGTTCCTCGAAGCAGATAGCTGATCCAATCCTTTACGTCGATTTGGCTTCGCAGTTTGCATTCGAACTTGGCCACCAGTGTTATACTGTATTTATTAGAGTTATAAACATGTCGAAAAGTGCGAAACGTGCATTCACTTTACACGAAAAGTTCACAATAATTAGTGAGTTTGAGCAGGGTTCATCTCAAGCAAATATATGTGCTCGTATGGCTATAAAAACTACACTGTGTCAAATATTTGGAAAAACCGTGACAAAATTAAAAATGACTGGGAATCAAATAGTCAAAAGAGAAAAATGCGGTTATCGCTGCATCCCCAAGTCGATGATAATATGCTGTTTAACCCATTAACGCCCTCTGTACTCAAGCGAGTACACTCGTGTTTGTTCCTATCAGAGCCATCTCTGAGTCAACCACAGAAGTACTGCCTCTTATAAACATACAAATGTTTATGATGATGGTACATGCGACAGGGCACAAGAGCCATTTTTCATAAATTCTGTGAGTGTGCCGTTGTTTACAGTAGGTAATAGAAGTTATTGCTTATTTGATCTAAGGTAAGTTCGGATTTTACATAATTTTTTCTTATTGAGATGACCATCTAATAAACATAATCTTTTTATATTATGTATATGTAAAAGTTGTTTGTTTGATTTGCCGGGCATAAATTATTTTAACTGATTTGATGTAATTAGAATGTATGTTCGAGTTTGACTGTACTCAAATGAGTACACTGGGCAAATTCGTTATGAGTCGACTAATGCTATTTTTTTTTGTTTTAGATATGTATAAACCGTTTTTTGATGATCCTGTTAAAACATACGAGTATTACAATTTTCTGCCTGATGCTCGAGATGAGTTAAAAGATAACGATGATGTGGTCTTGCATCCAGACGCTCGTTATTTGACTGACGGGGAGGAATTGGACGAAAAGCAACTGATGGCAAATGGAATGCCACAAGATGTTTCTGGTCGTGTATAGCTGTTTCGCCAAAGTTCAGCTAATGACGAGTTCTGAAGCAGCGACTAAGGGTACGAACATAGTGGAGCGACGAGGTTTCAGATTCAGATAGAGGCTAACCGCGCGGTTTGCCGCTATGTGAGTCAAAAACACAGGTTGAAACCTGTCGGGCCATAGTAGCGCGATAAGGCATGCGTCGAGTCTCTAGGAGGTTTCGAGCGACGAGTTTTAAATAGTTGCATTCAATTTTTGTCACGCGTTTTCAAGCGATTTAATAATGGATGTTGTGCAATTAATAAATAGTGTATATCACAGAAGGGCTATATGGGATCAGAGTCATCCAGATCATCGCAACCGATACGTGCTAGATAAGTTATGGGAGGAGGTAGCCAATGAATGCAATAATCAGTCGGGTAAGTAAATAAATGTATTTTATACACATTTCAACAGCTAGAACTTACATCTTGCGGTAAAATTTTAAGCTGTCTCGTAACTGATTGGAAAGAAATTAACATAGTTACAGAAAATGTCGCGAACTCTTTGACCTTCACCCAGTTGCCTTCCTCTAGGTAATTCAAACATCTGATCTCTAGGAACTGCATCAGTTACTAATGTTAAATGTCGTTGAAATCCCTCTCGGTCCAGTATTGTATTATGCAAAATGCATATCGCCTTAATGATATCATCCGCAGTCTTTTCAGTAGTCTCTATAGCTTTGGACAGAAGACGCCACTTCGCGTACATAATTCCAAAGGTGCACTCGATAGTTTTGCGTGCTCTGGACAATCTTTGGTTAAAATTTATATGTTCCAAAGAGCGGTTCCTTCGATTGTATGGTTTTAGCAAATTGGGCATTAGTGGATACGCTTCATCTGCAATAAATACGTAGGGAGCGCGGACATTTGTTCCTGGTAAACTATCTGGATTTGGCACATTTAGTTTGTTTTGGTGTATCCGTTTGTACAAATTGGAACTCTGAAACGTTCCCCCATCGCTCTGTTTGCCGTAACCTCCGACATCTATCACAAGCAATTTGTAATTTGCGTCGCAAACTCCTTGTAGGACGATAGAAAAATAATGCTTATAATTGAAGTACATGGATCCGGAATGTTGTGGTGCTATAACTTTGACGTGTTTGCCGTCAACAGCTCCGATGCAATTGGGGAAGTTCCATACTTTCATGAAGTCTGCACTTACATTTAAAAATGTTGCCGTAGTAGGTTCTTGCATGTGAAGTGGTTGCAGCATGTTCCATAATATTTTAATCATATGTTTTATAATGCTCGCAACAGTACTCCTGCCCATTCGAAAGGAAAATGCCAAGTGTCTAAAGGACGCTCCTGTTGCAAGATATCTGAAAATTTTTGTTTGTTGCAGTTAAGAAAGTTTCTGAGAAGTGGAAAAATCTACGTGATTATTTCAGAAAAGAACTGAAGAAAATACCTCTGCCCCGGTCTGGTGATCCAGGCGAAGAGGCTCTTAAAAAGAGCTCCTGGCCTCATTTCAAAAGTTTATTGTTTCTGAGAGACCAGTTTCTGCCGAGATCCAGTCATAGCAACCTGTTGGATCCCGACAATGACACACAAGTTTCGACACCCTCTACGCAGATGGATGAAAATGATGGTGACTATGACGAAGACGAAATGGACGAAACGCAGGGTGTAGAAACGCAGGAAACAGAACCCGACCACACAGAATCAGTCACTCCAATTCAAAGCACACCAAAAGAACCACGAACTATTCTAAAGAATAGGGCCCGAAAACGGTCAAATCAACTTGACGCTTTTCTTGAGATAGAGAAGAAAAAACTACAATATTTAGATGAGAAACGTGTCGCTGCAGACCGTGGCAGAGCCCTACCAGTCACAGATGACGATAAACTGTTTTTTGATAGCCTTTTGCCCCACGTGGTGAAAATTAGGCCTCATCGAAAACTTCAGTTCCGCAATGAAATTCAAAATTTGGTTCAGAAGTATGCCTATGAAGAGTACTCGAACAATCAGTCCACCATCAATGTCAGTCATTCTGTTAATCATAGCCCGACATATACATCTCAACCACAAACATCGTTTGCACATTCATCCCATTTGTTGCAGGGGTTTAATTACGCAGATCAGTAAACATTATAAGTTATTATAAGTTATCGTTCGTTGTGTTCAGAAGACAGAATATTATTTTGCGTTACCGTTTGTTTGTTTATGAATAATAAAAGTATTATCCTTAATACATAATATTCTCTTACCGAATTGTTACCACCAACATTTCTTCGGTTCCTATAGGCGCTTGATTAAAATTTGTCCATTTCTTGTTGATGCAGGGTGTAACTTGTTCTAATATATACTGAAAGGTGGCAAGTTCCATTCGAATGTAGTCAAATAGCCTGTCGGGATAATTTTTCAGTTCTAGAAATAAATGATGGAATTCCCCTAGGCGTTTCCGACTTTTATTTACGTCGTGCACACTACACTGCCGCACTCCAGTCATTAAAAGCACTTGCAGGTAAGTATTATTGAGAAGAATGTCATCGTCACTGTCGGAATACATATTTTTACGTCTATCTTCGACAAAACGCGACGCTCTACTATAACCATAGGTGCCTCTTGCCTCTACGCTCTAGACGCTACCAGATATCTGAATCTGAAACCTCGTCGCTCCACTATGTTCGTACCGTAAATAAATCTAAACACGATGACTTGGACTGGGAGAAATGCAATCCTGAATATTCCATTTGGTCTGAGCCGCCACCGTTATGTGAAATGAATACCAATAGGGATAAACTAGTGGAAGAGATAAAGGATTTAAATCCAGTACAACTATTTGAATTTTTCTTTGATGATACGGTTTTGCGGCATATTGTCGATCAGTCCATGTTATATGCATCTCAAAATACTCGACACCAAAGAAGAAATGAAATCCTTCATAAATTCGGACATTTTCCTGCGAAGCTAGACAAGCAATTACGATGTACAGTATGCCATCCAAGGGTTCGTCAACACTACGTATTGAACGTGCCTGCTTCAAGTTATATCATACAAAATAAACGGTTTCGCTCATTGTACTCAAATGAGTACAGATATTTTTTTGGTAAAAATAATAAAATATAATGGGTGATTTTTTTGCTAGTATCTTTTTGGCAACATTGTTTTTGACAGATGACGCGTGAATCGTGTCTTGTGTCATTGTCAAACTTGTTCAGTTTGGTCTATAATTTAACCATGAATCGACTTACGAACGAACAACGCTTGCAAATTATTGAATTTTACTATCAAAATTCATGCTCGGTTAAGAGAGTGCATCGAGCACTACTTCCAATTTATGGGCAATTTGGTCGGCCTACTGAGGGAGCTATTCGGAAGCTTGTGACTAAATTTCGAACCCAGATTACATTATTGGTCATTAAACCACCAACACGCAGACGTAGAGTGAGGACTGAAGAAAATATTGCGGCTGTATCCGCCAGTGTTAGTGATGACCGTGAAATGTCGATTCGCCGCCGTTCGCAGCAATTGGGCCTCTGTTACTCCACTACGTGGAAAATTTTGCGACAGGATTTGGGTGTAAAACCTTATAAGATACAGCTGGTGCAAGAATTGAAGCCACACGACCTCCCACAACGTTTTCCATTTGGTGAATGGGCGCTGGCAAAGTTGGAGGATCCACATTTTTATCGAAAAATTGTGTTCAGCGACGAAGCTCATTTCTGGTTGAACGGGTACGTTAACAAGCAAAATTGCCGCATTTGGAGTGAAGACCAGCCAGAAGCATTGCAAGAGCTACCAATGCATCCCGAAAAAATCACTGTTTGGTGTGGATTATGGGCCGGTGGCATCATCGGGTCGTACTTCTTTAAAGACGATAATAGCCGGAGCGTAACTGTGAATGGCGAGCGCTACCGTGCGATGATAAGAAGCTTTTTTTGCCCAAAATGGAAGAGCTGGACTTGGCTGACATGTGGTTTCAACAAGACGGTGCCACATGCCACACCGCCCACGAAACAATGGCCCTATTGAGAGGCGAGTTCGGTGAACAGTTTATCTCACGTTTGGGGGCCGTCAATTGGCCGCCTAGATCGTGTGATTTAACGCCGTTGGACTATTTCTTGTGGGGCCATGTTAAGGCTAATGTCTACAGGGATAAATCAGCAACGATTGACGCACTGGAAGCCAATATTGAAGCAGTTATTCGTGAGATACCGGCCGATATGTTGGATAGAGTGTGCCAAAATTGGACCTTGCGCATGGGTCATCTAAAGCGGAGCCGCGGCCAACATTTACATGAAATAATCTTTAAACATTAAATTATATCGACCGTTCTATCGACTCAAATAAAGATTTAATCGTTTTTTCAAATTCTTTGTGTTTTTTTTGAAAATCAAATCCTATACCTCATAAAAAATCACCCGTTAGTTACTTCAACGTGCACCTCCTCAAAGCTTCGTGATAATATTTTCATCTATTTGCGTTATTAGATATACGCATCAGGAACCAAGAATGGAGATGACCAAATTTGCTTGGATCTTCCTTCATGGAAAAACTTTCGATTTTTCAGTACCGCATTCCGATTGCACTATGCATACATATGCTTTGTTCTAACAGTACCATATTCAGATGACAAGATACGTGAGATATGTTTTAAATAGCTCAAGAACGTATATGCATAATATGATTTATCGATCTTCGAAAAAATATTAGCGTAAGAAGAATACTGCCTGATGCTCCGAGTGAAGTTGGAAAACATCGAGAAATTTGAGATATACTACAACGTACAACTTCCAGCCCCCAGTTTAACCCTTGCAAAAATCTATCTGAAAATAATCAAGAACTTCTGAGACGTCAAAAAACGGAGACTTTTCCGTTTTGGGCCTCGTACTTGCAACGCCACTGGACCTATTTTCAAAAACTTCAAAGCTTTTTCGTCGTTGGTAGTAAGCTTCCGTAAGAATTTCATCCAAATCCGAACAGTACCTTCCAAGTTATAGACAGGCCAAGGGTCAGCGGACAGACGAACCGACTGACAGGCAGACACACCAACAGACCGACTGAAATGACTGACATGCTTTTCCGTTTTTGATTTTTAACTGAAGGACAGACAGACAGGCGAAAATAAGTGACATGGTGACATTTTCGAATTTTTTCGCGGCTATATGGCAAATATGTTGCTTACATGTGATGTAAAAAAATATCCCAATTTCGAAATTACTGAGAAAGTATTTGAACATCGTGATTCGGCTATTCCAGTAAAAACATCGATATCCATCAAGGAACAAGTTTTATTCAAATCAGTCCTTCACAATGATTTGCGTAACTTTTCTGTTATGTTATTCAGTAGCATTTCAGTTTAGATTTGTAGGTCATCTATAGATTCATCACAGTGAAATACCAAGGTTCTACCTACTCTTTTCATCAACTGATCAGATCATACCTGCCTACACTGTATTACTTCCTGCTGTTTCGTTAGAGCATATTAGTTATGTCTTCTTAAATTGACTGGATCGAACAAGAATTGCTTATAAAAAATGGCGCCAAGTGGGTTGACTCTGCACTTCCTATGCAACGCCATCATCCGTTCATAAAGGATTAAGTTCAGTCCAATTTAAATCCTCTGAGAAAATATTGAGTTATAGAAATGTAGAACAGAGAAATTAAACGTATTAAGTCAGCCAATTAGGTCCATATACGAGGGATGTCTTTTAAGTGTTGCATATGGAAATAAAACAACACGGTAGGTAGTTTTAAATGACTTTATTGTTTCTCGAAGTATTCTCCACGAAGATTAATACACATCTGCATGCGCTAGAACCAATTCTCCACTAATTTTCGAAGCACTTATTCCTCTCGTTTGCTGGCAGATCCAAAACGGCATTTTTGAATGCGTCAACTGCTTCTTCCGGTGACTGGAACCTGTGACCACGCAGTCTGTTTTTAATTTTCGGGAAAGTAAAGAAATCGTTAGGACTTAGATCGGGACTATATGGAGGAGGGTACAATAATTCCACGTTTTCTTCCGTTAAATACTGCCTTGTTTTTTGGGCTGTGTGCGAGCTTGCATTGTCTTGGTGGAGGATGATTCTTCTTTCGGGGTTGATTTTTCGAAGCTCGGTGATGACATTTGGCAAACGAATGGTGGTATACCAATCCGCAGTAACAGTTCTTTGCTCATTAAGAGGAATTGTTGCAATATAACCCACTTTTGACACAAATATCGCGACCATCTTTTTCGGAACACTTCGAGAACGGATGACTTTTGTTGGCTTTTCTTCACCTTGGAACACCCAAAAAGCCGACTGTCGTTTATTTTCTGGTTCATAACAGTAAATCCACGATTCATCACCACTAACTATGCTGTACACATTTTTTGAGTTTCCGAAATTGAAACGGTCAAGAGTTTTTTTACACCAATTAACCCTGGCTGCTTTCTGCTCTTCAGTCAACAGGTGGGGTATCCAACGAGAAACTAATTTTCTTACTCCTAATTCTTCATGTAAAATTTTTTGAATTGAGGTCTTCGAGATCTTCAAGGACGCCTTAATCTCGCGATATGTCACATGTCTATCTTCAATGATGAGTTTGCGCACAGCATCGACGTTTTCCTGGGTGACTGCCGTTTTTGGTGCACCCACCCTGGGATCGTCGCTAACATTCACCCGACCACGTTTGAATTCTCCGTACCAACGGAAAATTGTCGACTGATGTGGCGCTTCGTTGCCGAAAACAGACAGTAACTCAGCAAGGCATTTTTGTTGCGACAGTTGTCTTTGAAAGTTGTAATAAATTATGGCGCAAAAATGTTCTCGGTTGAGTTCCATTTTTCTAATGACTTGGTGACATTTAAAAATTCACTGTAGTGAGAACATTGCACGGATTGTTGTGAAACTTTGAATTTAAGTTTACTAAAGAGTGAGGCCTACTATGGTTCTATATGCATATTCTTTTCCCGCCCTACTGGTAGTTACTGACCATGTGGCAACGTTGTCCCTTTCCACATCGACGTGGAATCACCGCAGTAAGTTGTCTTTTGTTTTAAGTGAGCTGCTTATGTTTTTTGAGCTTCAATACGAATACATAAAAAAGCCGGACTGATTCGGCAGGCGGTTAACTTTGATAAGCTAAAATACGCCATCGAAAATATTTCTCGTTTTAATGAAAAATGTACGGGTAAATCCATGTGTGAAATATGGCTAATAGGTGCATACAGTTACCGGGGTTGAGAGCGTACAAATACTCGTATACCAAAATCAAAAAAAAAATATTATACCCCAAATTTAAACCCCTACAAACATTTTTCTGAAAATGATCAGGACCCTCTAAAATGCCAAAAAAACGAAGTCTGGGCGATTTTTATCTTTTTCTGCTTTTGTTCTTTCCCCGCCACCACGAATCCGATTTTTAAAAACTAACAAAAACTTTTTCATCCTTGGCATAGTGGTATCCTAGTGTGAAAATTTCATCAAAATCCGAGCGGTACTTCTCAAGTTATAGGCGGTTGTAAAATTAATGAACAAACCGACAGACAGAGACAGACAGACTGACGTCATATAACATTCCAAAAATATAATAGCTCAATTTTTCGCGATTACAATGCTTTCTCACCAGTTTCGGCATAGAAAATCATACACTTTGCTGAAACTTTGATAGTGCGCCATTTTTTTCATATTCCTAAGCCCGGCGTCCTTTATTAATGGGTTATCTACTATGCATTGAACCACGCTTGACGAAAGGCTGAACATCTGCGATAAATAATGGTTATACAGGGTGTCCGCAAAGTTGGGGTTTTCCTTTTCAGAAACAACTACAACAACAAAGGTAATGTGTAGTGAAACGAGGGCGACCAAGTAAAAAAAATAAAGGAAAAAGTACTCACTCTCCAGTTGACGAGAAGGGCTAAGTTCGTCTCTGCGAAATCATACCGCTCCAACAGAAAATGAAATCAGCTGATGCGCTACCGAGCAGACGCAGGCAAACAAGGAAGGCAAAATGTTGCGTAAAAAGTCTAGGTATTGCATCCCGTCCAATCGATTTGAGAGAATAAATGGTCCAATGAGCATACCGTTCACCATACCAGCCCAAAAATTCACCGAAAATGTTTGTTGAAAATGTGCCCGACGGACAGCGTGCGAATTTTCTACTGACCAAACATGAGTGTTGCGAAAGTTATTCACCCCGTTACGCGTGAACGTAGATTCGTCTGTCACCAATATGCACTTCAAAAAGTCCGGATTATTGTCATGTTGATGCAACAACCACTCACAAAACCGCACTCTTGCTGGAAAATCGTCAGGTTGAAGGGCTTGTACACGTTGGACGTGAAACGGATACAGCTCCGCTTCACGCAGCGTTTGCCACACTTTAGTTTTTGATACTTGCACTTCTCTAGCCACGTCTCTAGTGCTTGTTGTTTTTTGAAACGCAATCGATTATACGGGTTCGTTTACCTCTACACGCGTGACCGTAACCGTCGGTTGAAAGTTGCATACTGACCTGACACACTGACCCCGACCCAGTTCTGTCGTCGGGTTGAGCCAGTGACCTTGTACCAGTCGGTGATGTCGCGAGTCGCGGCTACAGGACGGTATTCAGATATTTTTGATGTTGCAGAGCCCTTTATCTCGGTTCCCTTAAGACATTGGTGTATATGGTACTAAGAAAAATTGCTTCTGTTTTCAAGATCTACACATCGTGTAAAGGCTAACCCCAACTTTGCGGACACCCTCTATAATATCAAATACCTTCTAAAAACTGACCCACTTATTGTGTAATAATATTCTGTACCTGCAGACAATCTTCAATATCTCGTTGTTCACTCCCACAGTCTTCACTCCCACAGTCTTCACTCCCTTCAGACCCCCCAGACATGTCCATCAAGGTCGCATTTAGCACCTCATCCAGATTCTGCAGAACAGTCAACGCTTCCAAGTGATTGTCGCAAAGATCGAAAAAATTACTATCTTTTTGGGACTCATCCACGACATCATATCTACACCTTTCTATATCGACAGGAGGTCCGTCCACAGTATCTTGTTGAGGCTGATGATCTTCATCATCAATGACGATGAGTATATCCTCGACGTCGATACTGTTTTTCCTGAGGAGATTCTCGTCTTGGTGTGATGGCACTGATTTAAGCTTCTTTTCCAAAATTGGCAGTTCGGTATCGATGAGGTTGTCAGAGTCTTCCAGGTAAAGCGAGACTGTTGTGGCTCTGGGAAGAACCGGAGATTGTACGTGGAAGTCGATGAGGTCTTCGTGAGGTGGGTCTTCTTGGGTCGACATGGCGGGATGGGGTCATGTCCTGGAACAAAAAATTACAAGTTTTTATTCAACTTGACCTGTTTGTTAAAATGGAATAAATATTGGAATTGAATTTTGCACCAGTTAACCTTAACCAATTGAGCAGAGATTTTGTACACATGTTTGGTTTGTATGGCAGTACAAAATGGTGATTTCCTCAGTAACCCCTATGATATGGAAGGTCATGATGAGAGAAGCAAAGTGACTAAAGCCAATATGGCGGCTTCCGCAAAATAGCGATCTACATTTTTCATAGATATGGGTATCAAATTAAAGGGATTTACAGGAGAAAGGCAATATACAAAGTGGAGTCATTTCGTATCCAATTAATGTGCAACTATTTTTGGTACGTCAGTATCAGTTTAGTAGTAAATAAACAAAAACGTTTAAATACAGGCGTACATATGATTTATCAGGTAACCAAATAAGTTCGTCCGGTTGCTGTATATCGCACATTGCCATGGATATTGTTGATCGATAGCGATTGTTTGTTACCTGTTGTCACTTTAGTATGAATCCTTCTTTTCTCACACACATAAAAAGTTGCTGAAAATTGTTACACACCTAGTTTTAATAATTAAAAATGGCAACGAATAAAACAGTAATTCGAAGTTGTTTACTGTATGAGTACAAACTTGGTACAAAAGCTGCAGCGGCGGCGCGAAAAGTTTGTACCGCATTCGGAGATGATGCCGTTAGTGATCGAACAGCACAGAAGTGGTTCAAAAAATGTTCTTCAGGAGATCTCAGTTTGATCGATGAACCGCACTCAGGGAGATCAAAAATCATGAACAACGATGATCCTCGACAGGTTGTGGACGCAGATTCCAGGACAACGTGCCAAGAACTTGCAGAAATGTTCAGTGTGAGTCCTGAAACTATTCGTTTGCATCTTCATCAGCTAGGATAGACGTGGAAGTTAAGCAAATGGGTCCCAAATGAACTGACAAATGATAACAAATTAAGTCGTCTTACCATTTGTTCAGCAAACATTTCACGCAACGCTAATGAACCATTTCTTAATCGGTCATTAACCTGAGACGAAAATGGATCTTGTATTCTAATTCTAAGCGTTCGCATCATTGGTTGTCGCCTAATGATTCGGTACCACACACGACCAAGGCTTCCTCGCACCCAAACAAGGTTTTGTTGTGTGTGTGATGGACAGCAACTGGAATTGTCCATTATGAGTTTATGGAAAGGAGTCAAACCATCACTGCTAACTTGTATTGTAAGCAGCTTCAACGAGTACAAGCAGCACTCATCCAGAAACAGCCTTCTTTGATCAATTGGAAGAAAGTGATATTCTTGCAGGATAACGCCAAGCCTCATACCGCAAAAGTGACCCGAGAAAAAATGTCTGAACTCGGCTGGAAAACCCGCCCAATTCTCCCGACATTTCGCCTAGTGATTATCACCCTTTTTTGTCTCTTGACAACTGTATGAGGCACCGACAGTTCACAACTCGAGATGGTGTAATAAATGCAGTCCGCCATTTTTTTTACTGCAAATCCAGGGAGTGCTACAATACCGGCATACAAGAATTGGTTCCAGGTTGGCAAAAGGTCATTAAATGTTACCTGATAGACTGTATAAATACATACTCGTATAAGCGGTAACATACGAAATTTAGATAACAGATATTAGAAATAAATTGATAAGCAACAACTTTGGCCTAAAATATAAATTGGATTTTCAATTAATCAAAAAATTATTCGATACTATAGGGAGCTATTTTATTTAAATGTGTGTCAGTTGCGTTCTAAAAGCACCCACTTTAGCTCAAGGTTTTTAGTTTTTTCAATACCGTGGGGTGAAATTACTATACTAAGTGACATATAAATCCGAACACCCAGTTTAAATAGTTTTATTTTAATAAAATTTTGTATAAGTACTTAATGAAGCATAATAAGTAAATGATAAAAATTTCAAAATGATTGCACTGCTTTAAAGCCCTTTGACCTTTAATAATGTGTGGATGCACCCTGATGTGCTACGCATTCTCTAACGCGCCTAGGCAAGCTTCTGATCAGGTGGTCAATGTCCTCCTGTGGTATCTCATTCCAGGCAACCACCAACTCCTCTCGAAGTGCTTCTAGAGTCTGAGGAGGACATTGCAAATTGAGCAATCTCCTACCCATCATATCCCACACGTGCTCAATTGGGGATAAGTCGGGAGATCTTGGTGGCCATGGTAACAATGTGACATCATTATGTTGAAAGAAGTCTATTGTGACTCTTGCAACATGTGGTCGGGCATTATCTTGTTGGAAAGTTGGATCTGCCAGGGTGTCAAGATAGGGTAAAAGATGGGGTTCTAGAACTTCGTGGATATAACGCTGCGCGTTCATGTTACCTCTGATGAAGATTAAAGGTGACCTGGAACCATAAGCTATAGCACCCCAAACCATAACTCCAACAGTGTAATGAACATGTCTTTCAACAAAAAACGGTGGATTCCTCCTTTCACCACGTCGCCTTCTAACCCTGGCACGACCATCGTGCATGCCTAAACAAAATCGAGACTCGTCACTAAAGACAATACTGTTCCATTCCCGATCCCAGAGTGACCGTTGTCTGCACCACTCAAGGCGATTACGTCGGTGTTCTCGAGTTAAAGGGAGGACCCAGTGTGGCCGGTATGAAAACAAGCCAAAACTTCTCATTCGTCGGTAAACACTTCGCATGCCAATAGGTCTTCCGTGTTCTGCAAACCATTCATTTGCAATGGACCTGGTAGTGGAGAAACGGTCCCTTAAGGCCAATAATCTTAGGCGGCGATCTTCACGGTCTGTTGTTCTACGGCGGCGTCCAGTGCCCCTTGCTCTTTGCGTACGGCCTTCTCGAAGCCATGCCTGACAACACCTAACCACAGTGTCTACACTTCTTTGCACTCTAACTGCAATTGCCCGAAAAGAAAGTCCGGCTTCCCGAAGTCCCACTATACGGCCCCTATCAAACTCACTAAGTTGACGAAATCGTACAGGTCTAGGCGTCGTAACCGATCGTAAAGGATGTCAAGAACCAAAATCTGCCAACGTTTATTCTTTACTGCGGCTGAAATATTCATTTTTAGAGCGTTAGTGAATTAAAAAAAAGCAGTATAAAAACCGGAATGTCCAACTGATAAGGCTGAAAATTTTTTCACTTGTTATTTACAGTAGGATAAATACATTCACCAACTTGTATTAAAATAAAACCATTTAAACTGGGTGTTCGGATTTATATGTCACTTAGTATATTTTATGTTTTTCTCTAGTGTCATGATTATGTAGGTATATCAGACTATTGATCGTATCAACTGATGATAAATGCTTATAATGTCATGATACCCATCAATCCCCTAAATATGCTCTTCCTCCATGGGTCGTCGTGCTTGTCTTTGACAATGCACCGCACTCTGCAGCCTTCTGGATTATACAATCTCTTTGCAAATTTTATATGATTTATATTTATCGATATTTTATAAAGTAAGGAAATTTATCGAATCCTGCTAATAGAATATAAGATTATACAGAAATTACCAAATTAGTCATTTGATATTATTATTATTATTATTATTATGTCTTTATTGAGTATTGTTATATACAACCATAAATACTAAAAAGTTTAATTAAAATGACAAAATACATTACTAAAAACAAGATTCTATTTTGCTGTTAATAAAATGAACTAAAAACATGAAAATACTTTTTATCGATTGGAAATATTTATACTACGATGAAGCTTCTTCATCTCAAGTTTTCAAATAAAAACATTTTATACGTACATTTTGACAGTCGGGTGAAAAAAGGGTGAAATACGCTTTTATTTGAAAACCTGAGATGACGGAACTTCGGAAAAAATATTCGTAAATTTTTTGGTACATTTTATTAACAGCTAAACAAAAAGCTGGTTTTTAAAAATGCATTTTTCATTTTACCTATGATCATTACCTTAAAAATAATGACGCTTCTGGATGTGCTAGGAAATCAAAAAATTGTATACAACATAAGGAATTAAGCGCCACCAGCATTAAAACATATTGTCGACCAGACTCTGCAGGTGTATTTGCTTCATAGATTGAATATTTTTTGACAAATACATGTTCAATCAAAATCAGACAGTCTCGGAACCTTTTCGCATCGGCGAGTACCTAGATCCTTCTACCTACACACCCAAAATACACGAGTGCTAGACTTTACACGTTATGGTCAGTGTTGGAAGATGCTACCCATTTTGAAAGCAACTTACAGAGCTTGTGTAAATGTTTCGATAATGCTTAAGAACAATTAGAGGTCCCCTGATATAGTACCCACGAATACCACGTTGCCCTACTTTTTCCCGAGTCCGAAACTGTTATGAAAACCTGTGCAGGTGTTTGAATAACAAAATAGCAATACGGTTCTTTTATCGTATCGTACATTTCAGAAGAATTAAAAACAAAAGGAGCAATGGAGAATATGGAAAACATAGAAGAAGTAACATACAGGTGGAAGTGTATAAATGATCAGGCAAAAATTCGGTGAACTTCTCATCCTTACAAACTTACATCAACATGCATATTATGTGTTCCACAAAAATCGATCATAGGCCTAGCAAAAAGTTTATGCGCATATCATTCGATTAGTGCTGTACAACTATTGCACGATTACTATATACCGTACAAGATATCCTAGCGGAGGACTAATTACTATTCTTGACGGAAGCTTAATAAAAACGTGACTTGGAATAAGCGAAATGCTAATTTGATCGAAACGCTAAACAATTCTTTTATTCTTTCATTTATTCTCAACCGTAACTAGGATTAGTATCCCGATATGAAATAACAACTCCAGTAATGGAATGTATTTCTCTTGTCTGATATTATGCTGTCATTCTCCTATTAGATTACATTTTAGTCTCTTACTCGCGCAGCATGTTAATAGTTTTATATCGGATTCCTTTATCAATTCCCTCACCTTCCAGTCATGAAAGACAGCTGAAGAATATGTTGTCCAATATTATTCTCATTGTTAGTCGTTGAGAAAAATTCTCATATGCAGAAGTGTCAGTACCTACAGTAAATGATCAAAAATGTCAT